TACCCCGGATCTAAGGAACAAGAGTCAGATTAACCTCGGGTAAGGTCTCGCCACTTGCTCCAGAAGCAGTATATCAGCCGTATGGGGCCCCAGAGTTGTCAAAAACCGAACGGGGCCACTCGTGGGCAATCATACGAGGTTGGGGCCCAGACATGACCGTGCCGTCCTTGCCGCCCACCATGGGAGAGAACCAGTTAAAGGAAGTGACCAGTAGGAGGGAAGATGTGTCTGCAGCTGTGGATCGGACGTTTTTTCTTCTCACTGGGAGGAAATCTATTCCCCACAATCGGAGAGGCAAGATTTGTCTGTTGGACCCGCGTCGCTTAAATTGAGTGTGTGACTGTGACTGCGCTGCGTGGGTGCTATCAAAGCGCGGATCCGAACGAACAAACCACAAGACTAGCAAATCAAGGAACCGGCACGAGCACACATGGGATGGGCTGCGCGGATCCGAAACCGATAGAAAAAGAGGCGTCTTTTCGTTTCTTTTTCTTCTCTAGAAGCAAAAGCGGGCCACAATCCCTTCTACGCCACGCAGTAGGTACGGTAGGTTAGCGAATGGAACCATCGCGCGCCCGACATGAACCAGACCAGACCTGGCCCTTGACCGGATATTCATGTCCATAAACGAAACTCTGTTTTTTTTATCACTCGTCGTTCCGGTTACTGGCGATAATTTCCCCTCGTTTCGGAGGAAACCTCCAACTACGTACGAGACTAGGATGAGGTCATGAGCGCTAAGGATCGGCTAGTGGTCTCGACAGAAGTGCCGATGATCACCAAAACTGCAGAAGCTGACTCGTCGTGCGCGCGTTGTCGGAGATGGAGATGGGAGAGGTGAGGGAACATAAGCGCTTGGACCAGGCCTTGATGAAACATACGGTGGTACTGAGAGTGAATCCCTGTACGATACCTGGTTGTTGTCCCATTAAAAGAGAGGAAGAAGAAAAGAAGAGAGTGAAAAAATTGCGAACCCGCATGTAACCCAACCAACAAAACAACAAGCATAACCAAATCAAAACATGGAAGAGGCGACGCGACTGGGGTTTGGAGAAAAGATGCAGCCTTGTCTTGGCCTCTGTTTGGTTCAAGCCTGGTTCGTTCCGCCATCTCAAGCGGGGAAAGGAGCAGAAATCTGTGACCCCGACCAACACCACGTCCATCTGCAGCTGGAGAGGAGCACAAGTCCGGTTGCTACTCTTCTCCACAAAATAATCTGTGTAAGCTTAACAATGCACCTTAAAGCCTATGCTGCTTAAGCCTATCCCCAAGGTTGCAGACTTGGTTTGGTCAGCGGAGTCAACTTCAGCGAGCGATCGGCAGTCAAAGTAACGCCGAGACGCTAGACCGACCAAGAAAAACAATCCTCCGCCATTCTAGCGTGCGTCTACCGTCTTGACTAACCCAGCCTGCCTTCCTCATCGTCTCTACCCGTGTAGCATCGCGATGCCGAGTTTCCGAGTGTGGTGGTGGTCACCACGGCATCTCCGCATCTACGAACCACTCAGAGGAGCTTCCCCCAGACGGGAAGAGAGACATTCTATGTACAGTGACGGCGATCGACACGGTTAATCATGTCAGTTCCCGTGTGTTTGTACGTAACATCAACTGAAAAGGAATGCGTTCAAACCCAAGTCTGTATTGCGTCAATCCATGGCCTAACAGACATGGAGTCAAAACGTGCGCCCGTCCTTGACGCCTCGTCCTTGTCATTCCCCGCACCACCTCCTCTTAACCCTTATCCTAGTCATAGTCCGTCTCCTCCTCTGGCTCCGTTTGCACCCGTATGATCAACCAGGGTGGTCAACGACAAGGGGACCAAGATGATCAATCTCCTCCTCTGCGGGGAAGGGCAGGGCAGGGATAGCCCACCCCTCACAAGTCCCATCCACATCCCGGCTTCCCCAACTACCAACAACATCTCGACCGTTCTGAACCTACTCGTACCCCACGTCTACTGTGACCCGCGCATTCATTGTGGTGCGGTGCCGGGGGAGGGAGGAGGAGTAGGTGGACAGGCCAGTCTCTGCATCCACGTTTGGCATCTCGACTCGACCTGTCGTCAATCAATCCTGCCTTTTGAAATATAAGTTGCCCTCCTCCTCCCCCTTCAACTCTGGAATTCAAACAGATCATCACCCCCTCAACCTCCTCCTCCTCCTACTCCAACAACCAATCCAACCTTGACTGGTTGCGAGACCTCTTTTGCTTCTTCCTCCTCTTCTGTCACAAAATCAATCATGGGCAACCACGTTGAGAACGGCGCCCCAGCCGACCCCGTGGCCAAGGGCATCTTGCCCACGGCCAAGCAGGCCTTCAAGGACCTCTTCATCTGGAAGCAGCGCGTCGTCATCCACAACGAGCATGGCGAGGAGGCTACTGAGTGGAGGGATCCTGACCCTCTCCAGAACCCCATCAGCCTGATGGCCCAGCTCTCTCTCAAGGACTGGATCTTCTTCATCGTCGGCTTCTGCGCCTGGACCGCTGATGCCTTTGACTTCCACGCCCTCTCCATCCAGACTGTCAAGCTGGCCAAGTACTACGACACCACCAAGACCAACATCACCACCGCCATCACCCTCACCCTCCTCCTCCGCTCCGTCGGTGCCGCCGCCTTTGGTCTCGCTGGTGACAAGTATGGTCGCAAGTGGCCCATGGTCTTCAACATGATTGTCCTCGGTGTCCTGCAGATCGCCACCATCTACAGCACAACCTTCAACCAGTTCCTCGCCGTGCGAAGTCTGTTTGGTCTCTTCATGGGCGGTGTCTACGGCAATGCTATCGCCATGGCCCTCGAGCAGTGCCCGTAAGTTCCCGCGTTCCCCTCTCCTCACAAAACTCTCGAGGTCATTCAATTTGGAGAAGTTTTTATTTCCGTGCTAACAGCGCCGCAGTACCTCCGCCCGAGGCTTGATGTCCGGCATCTTGCAGCAGGGATACTCTTTCGGTTACGTCTTGGCTGCATGCGCCAATCTTGGCGTTGGAGGCAGCACCGAGAGTTGGAAGACTGTCTTCTGGATTGCTGGTAAGTGATCCTGATACTGATCAAACAACATAATCACTAACAAAATGTAGCTGGTATCTCCATCGCCGTCGGTCTCATCCGCATTGCCTTCCCCGAGTCGCAGCAGTTCCTCGAAGCCCGCAAGGCGAAGAAGGCCTCAACCGCCGCCCCCGGTGCCTTCTGGCGCGACTGCAAGAAGATGCTTCGGTCCGAGTGGAAGATGTGTGTTTACTGCACCATCCTCATGACCTGGTTCAACTACTTCTCCCACACCTCCCAAGACTCTTACACCACCTTCATGATCACCCAGAAGGAGCTTAACAACGCCGGTGCCTCTCGCGCCTCTATTATCATGAAGGTTGGTGCTTGTGTCGGTGGCACCATCATCGGATACACCAGTCAGTTCATCGGCCGTCGACGTGCCATCATCATCTCCTCCCTCATGGCCGGTGTCCTCATCCCCGCCTGGATCCTCCCCGAGGGTGAGCGCAGCCTTAGCGCCTCTGGATTCTTCATGCAGTTCTTCGTCCAGGGTGCTTGGGGTGTCATTCCCATCCACCTTAACGAGCTGTCTCCCCCTGCCTTCCGATCCACCTTCCCCGGTGTCACCTACCAGATCGGAAACATGATTTCCTCCCCCTCTGCCCAGATCGTCAACGCTGTCGCTGAGAACACATTGATCTCCATCAAGAACGGTGACAGGGTCGAGGCCTACGGTCCCGTAATGGGCGTTGCCACTGCTATCATCGCTCTCGGCATCGTATTCACCACCATGTTTGGTCCTGAGAAGCGCGGCAGGAGTTTCGAGGGTGCTGTCGCCGGTATGGAGGAGACCAACCAGCCCAAGAAGGATATCGAGACTGCCAGCGTCGAGCAGGTTGAGCTTGACGACCGGAACAAGTCCAAGGAGTAAATGCCTCCTTCTACTTACGAGATTTTTATCAAGATGCTATGACCTAGTTGTTTGAGATAGTTTAGAGGTTGATGTTTGCGAGCCTCGATAGCCTTGTTTTCACCGAGAGGTGGTTCATATCCTGTGAATACATTCATTGAACACATTTGATCCATATTCTGGTAATTCGTGATGTGATTGTTAAATGCGCAAGGCCGCTGGTCTTTGTTCGAAGTCGCGTGGACAAAGCCGGAGACATTAACATCTTGGTAACACCCATAAGTCAAGAAGATGATCGCCATGAGATCAGGACAGCGATCGGCATCCTGCGCACAATGGTTTGTCCACCTGGCTAGGCGGCAACCAATAAGTAGCGGGATTTAGTTGATCTGACGACTGGGATAATACCATCAATTCCTTGACTCCCCCTCCCTTACCTACCTACTCGATGTGACCCTGCCGCGCTGTTTCACCCAGCAAGCACACTTCATATTGAACGAGGGCCCTAGCGAAGCTGCTTCTACTCTATAGGCTGAGGAGTTCCAGGTACATTGCTTGATCTTTGTCACGTTGTTAGGTGGAATCGAGATTCTCGCCTCGAGCTTGGAGGGCGAACTTGGTCTCTCTTGCCCACAATCCAGTAGCGGGTTCTGCGAATCGTAGCTTTCACGATGTTTGTTTACTATCCCAACCCGTACGATCAGTGTTTTACTGCGATTCACTGCCCCTGTGGGTGTTTCGATGCCCATTGCTTGCATTGCTGAATATATAGTTACCGCTTTCCATGATGGGAGCGCGATGTCTACCCCATTTAACGAGAACAAAGGATACAATATCTATCCTTCACAAATATACTTTTATAGACGATAGATAGGTAGATATATGTGTTTAATTTAGAGTCATGCTTACTGGATTTGATATGTTGATCCAAGCTCGACGCCCCATTTCTGTTCTCGCTCATAATCTAGCAGTGCGTACCGCAAATCACAGCCTTTTTCTCATCGAAGGCGTCTCTAAAAGCACCTTAACACTACAGCAAAAGATGTCCATCAATACATGACGGAAACAAAACTCAACCGTAAAACACCGTATAGATCACAGCCTTCACGGGTTCGATTGACCAGCCCAGCTCATCCGCTCAGCAATGTACTGCGCTCCAGTTCCCTTATTGATGTTTTGATGCCCATTGGCTAGATTGCTGAATAGATCCCCCTTTCCATAATGTGCCACCGCTGCCGTCTGGCTCACCGGCATAGGTGGTTGCATCAAAGCTAGCTCTTCGATGGCTTCTGCTAGTTGATGAACTTGGTCGACCGTCACTTCGATGATGCATTCGTTGACAAGCTCGTGGGGCCCTTGCAAAAGCTGTAGTAGGACCACCTCGACCCCGCTGGCGTTTGGCTTTCGCAGAAACTCCTCATAACAACTTCCTCTCTCGGTCTCAGAAGTATCTGCCACGACTCTGAAGATGGCCGACAAGCTTTTGGCAGCTCCTTTGGTTGATTCTAGAACATCGAGAATTGCAGTGTCATCTGGATCTAGGCTATTCGCCTTCCGTTGGTCCTGGATTCCCCCCACAATCTCTTGGACAAGAGAAACCCATTTCCGTGTGTTGCCAAAACTTGGCGGTAGATTCTCATGGGGAAGAGTTGCCTCCCATTTTTCTGCGGCGTCGTTGAGAAACCGGAGGGTGGAAGAAATGAGCTTGTCGATACGTTGGCACGACATTGCGTAGAACTTGAAGAAAGAGGCAAAGCGAGAAGAGAGACAAGGAACGCTACGCTGAATTTTAATCGTGGTGGTTTATAGAACGCCTTGTCATGCAAGGCAGATACGTGTCAGCGTCAGACATACTGGAAGGGCGGTTTCTGAACAGCCTCACTGTTCAGAATACCAACCACACCATATCCTAGTAAACCGATTAAATGTTTATTTAATTAATTAAGAGCACGCAGTTAAGATGAGATAATGCTATCTAAAAAATGTAACACACGCTTATTGCTCATTGAAGTCAGATTGATCACTGACGAGGACTCCCCTGAATAATCATCGAGTGTGCAAAAACCTGTTGCCCCTTGCCCATGTTGACATGCTGCTGGCCGCTTCCCATGTTGCTGAACTGGTGACCTATTCCGTAATGAGCAACCGCCGAGGCCTGGTATATTGAAGGAGCTGGGTCGGCCAGAGCCTGAATCGCACAGGGAGCCTTGGCGTCTATGGAAGGTTTGATGGTCTGGATTGCCGCCAACAATTGCACATTTTCCAGGAGTTTTTTCATCAGTTGTTCCATCTTACTCTCCTTGGAGAGCCTGCGCACAACGAGGAGAGAGCGATCTGCAAATGTGGCGCCTGGTTGGATGGTCACCTCCTGCATAATGCTTTTCAGCCGCAGAGCCTGATCTTGGCAAGACTCGAGCAGGACTTGGATCGTTCCGAAGTCGCCCTGTCCTTCGGTCGATTCTTTGATGCGTCGCTCTGCGGCCTGCAAGACGGCTCGTATGAGGGGTAAACGCTCAGATACCGCTTTAAATCCATCAGGAAGATCGCGGCTATTCTTGATGGTTTTGACCAGTTTCGAAGTCCCGTCAATGATGCCAATAATGGCCGATATGAGACTAATGACCTCAATGCCTGACATGATGTTGTGGTGGTTCGGAAATCTCAGGTGGGAGGGCGTAGTAAGGGAGTTAAGTTTTCGTTGGGTTGTAACTCTTGCGCTCTGTGCTGACGCCCGATCCCACACATTCTTCTCACTTTCAACCCCTTAGATTGGTTGAGCCTGCAGAGTGGCTGAGGCCTGAGGTTTCACAAGGCAATTTTGGTGCGGTGAGACTGCATTTCTGCCTGTTAGCCCGCCTTATAAATGCAGGGGCTTCAATTTGTGCCATGCATCAATACGAATGAAGCTGTTTGAGTGCAGGCCTCTTTCCTTCGCTCATTGGCAAACAAGTATCTTACCGTCTCTCACACTAAAGCCGGTTAGGCAGGGACGGGCGCGAGGTTTGCTTCCCCAACCTTGACCGAGCCCAACTACCCTCTTTCATCGTCCCTTTTCGGCCTTCTATGTTATCGACCAGCTTCTGCCAGATCACTATCATCGCCACAGTGTAGCCAACTAGCCACGTGTGTAGCCGGGCGGTACATAGTATGCACCTTGTGCCCCTCAAACTCCCGTCCTGAGACGCTCGAATACGCGCGCTGGCCCATTTGGAATCCTCCTTGCTGTGCTGACCACATCGGCTCAGTTCTGCTTGCTCCTTTAATGTACCTGCGAATCTAGTTGTGTTTTCGATCAAACGACGGTGTTACCCACCCCTGGCTTCCGACTCGCTCAAGTGCGTCGTACATGAGAACCATCCGCCATGTCGGCAACCCACATGGGAAGGGGTGACATGTTCCATAATGCCGGTACACAAAACATCTGTAAGGATAATGGTACTCAGATTATTCAAAACGGTGAGTATACAAAGCCAGATGAGCCGTCAACGACTTATGAACTCGGCAGGTCCGGATGAGGAGGCAGACTTGGAAAAGCAGGACGACCGATGCCTCAAGTACATGCGACACAGTGGCTACGTCCCAGAAGACCAGAAAATCAACGCCGAGAGGCGGAAAGAGCAGCTTTTTGAGCCCGCTTGCGAGTGGATCTTCAAGAGCCCCGAGTTCCAACAATGGCGCGACGGCGCATCTGCTCCTGGCCTTTGGCTCCATGGGGGACCAGGCAAAGGCAAGACTAAGCTTCTTTGCAGCGTCCTGAACCATTTGCTGGACTCGATCCCAGTAGCCCCAGTTTCTTCTGATCCAAGTCTTCTCGTTACGTATTCCTTTTTCAGCAATCCGGACGGCGACCGCGAAGCATCATTCGTGGTGGCCACTCTTCTACACGGGCTCGTAAAACAGCAACCCTCATACCTCCGTCGCATCTCGAAGGTTTACGACCACGAAACAAAATACCCATTTCGAGGGAAGCGAGCATTTACCGCCCTAGCCGGTATCCTGAAAGACATGTTGGAAGACATGTTGAAAGACAACCCAACCCGAACCAGAATTATCTTGGTGGTTGATGCACTCGACGAATGCGAGACTGATGCCAATCTTGACCATCTACTTGATCTGATCCTCGAGACATCGTCCATCCAAAATGTCAGGTGGTTCGTATCCAGCCGGGGACTTCCTATCATTCACCAAAAGTTTGATGCACCTGATACAAAGATGCGGAAGTTGAGTCTTGATCAAACCGGGGAAGACATCCAGCAAGCTCTTCAAGCCTACATAAATCATCGAATGGGAAGTCTTCACCGTCTTAGGATGAGTGGAGAAAAGAAAGAGGAACTTCAGAATCGACTATTGCGCAAAGCAGGCGGTACATTCCTGTGGTTGTCTATTGTCATGGCCGAGCTCAAGAAGGGGAACAGTTGGAACACCAATCGTGTTGTTGAGGGCTTGTCAGGTGATCTCAAGAGTCTCTACGAGAGTCTACTGCAGAATTTGCTGGGGGATCTCGTCTTGGGGGGAGACAGCGAGATTGACAAAGAAGTTTTTCACAAGACACTTGCCACCACAACAGCCGCTCTACGGCCACTCCATATCGAGGAACTGAAGGAGTTGGTTGGATTCCCTGAAGAAATTGACGAAATCAGCCAAGTAGAAGAGGTCATCGACAAATGCGGCGCCTTTCTCACTCGTCAAAACAACCAAGTCTTCCTAATTCATCTTTCCGCCAAGGAGTTTTTGACACCTGAAAAGTTGCAGTCGGCGTTTCAGTCTAACCCTCTTGATATTCACTCCCATTTGTTTTCCCGCTCGATGTCTGTCATGGAGGAAAACCTGAAACGCGATATCTACAACCTGGAGAAGCCAGGAATTGATATTCGTGATATTGCCTTTCCTCTATCTCCAGATCCACTACTAGGCCTCAAGTATTTCTGCGTTCACTGGATTGACCATCTTGAACGAGTTCAGCTTCGAGACTACCAGGCTGTGAGACGCTTCATCGAGAAATCGCTTTTGCACTGGCTGGAGGCAATGAGCTTGCAGAGAAAGATGGAAGAAGCATGCAGGGCAGTACAGAAACTATGTAGACTAATGGTAAGTTTTGAAAACTCCCATTCTTACCTTACTTCGTTTCATGCTTCGAACAAGATGGCCAGATACGCCTCAGACTTTAGTCTAACCTTTGATTAGCAGAACACAAAAGACTACGAGCTGGACACTTTCACAAACGATATCGACGGCTTCGTTCAAGTTCACGAGGAAACAATACAAAACTATCCTTTTCAAACCTATGCATCTGCTCTTCTATTCAGCCCAACCAGCAGCTGTGTCAGAAGGGTTTACAGCGGAGAAGAACTCGACTGGATCTCATTGAAGTCAAAGAGGGAACCCACTTGGAGCCCCCGGGCTAAGAGCCTCTCGATGCTTGCTCCGACATCGATGTTGGCCATTTCGACAGATGGAAATTTGCTAGCTTCAATTAATGATCCGGACTGCGTGGGCATGACGTGGGAGGATCTGTGCGAGTGGGCGTTGGAGCGGGAGGTGGACTACCCTCATGCACAACTCCCCCCTTTCTTGCTTCAGATCTGGGACTTGAACTCGAATGAGCAAATTCAGATCCTTGGCATTGACTTTGAAGTTCTCGCGATTGGATTTCTACGTGATAGTAAGCGGCTTGCCCTGGCAGGGAATCAGAACCGCTTCGAGATCTGGAGTGCGGAAACGGGGTCACGCGTGCAGACACTTCAAAGCCCCGAAGAACCCAGCGTTTGCTTTACATGTCTGGCATTACCAACTTCAACACATCTCGACCTGAATGAAGATGTGATAGCATCTGGCTCAGATAACGGGGCGGTCAGATTCTGGAATCCGGCTACTGGAGGCTGCACAAGAAGCATCCGCACGTCCAAGGAAAAAGTTGGCGCCCTGACATTTTCGCAGGATGGCCAGAAATTAGCCGTGGGCTTGTTATACGGGACAATCGAAGTGTGGGATTTCCAATCAGAATCACTCGTTGGGAAAGTGAAAGCCCACAATCGCTCCGTCGTGTCGATGGCGTTCTTAGGGGACGATCAGCTTGCGTCTACCTCAAAAATGGAGGGAGTAAGGATCTGGGATCTGAAAACGGGCGCTTGTGCCATAACCATATCCGTACACACGGAGGATTTCACAATGGTCGTGTCGCTGGGGAATGGTGGGTATTTTGCCTCCTCCACGGAAGATTTTTGGGGAAAGGTCAGAGTTTGGAACAACAAAGGGGAATTTATCCACCATCTTGAAGGAAGCGACTATAGCATGAATGGACTGGTATTTTGTCCTGAGAAACAGCTCCTCGCTCACGCCACCGAGGACACAGTCGATATTTGGGACTTGAAGCTGTTTCCATTTGCCAAGCATGCCCCTTTACACATGGAGCGGGTACTTTCGACTACGCTTTCTTCTGACTATCTATTACTTGCATCGGGCTCTGAAGATTCAATCAAGATCTGGAACACGGCCACAGGCACCTGCATCCGTTCAATGGGCTGCCTCGGGGATGGAGGAAGTGGGCTTGCCTTTTCTCCCAACACTCGCTATCTTGTATCGCGATGGGGAATTACTTTGTGGGAAGAAAGGTGGGCCAAATTGACCGTTTGGAGCGTAAGTGATGGCCAAGCTGTCAAAACCTTCTACGAGGTGAGGGGGTGGGAGGTTTTTTCCCCTGACGACAAACTGCTCGCACTGGCTTTGAGGTCATCCGTGATGGTATGGGACATGGATGCCTCTGAGGAATACCGTCAGATTCAACGCAGCGCCACATGTCTCGTCTTCTCAGCTGACGGCAACAAACTTGCATTGGCTTCAGACACGAAATTGGAGATCTGGGACATGCTCAGCGGCGAATGCATCTGGGCTGTTGCCCACCAACAGACTGAGGTTACATCGATCGCACTTTCAGCAGATGCGGAGTTGCTTGCTGTGGGCACAAGCCAACAAGGTATCCACGTATGTGGATGTGGCAGAGTTGCCAAAGAGCTGCGTGTCTCCATGGCCACTAGTCAGAGATTCCGTCACACTTTGGACGCAGTAGCTTTCTCTCCCAACCGAGAGTTACTGGCCTGGGTTCGTGGTGGCGAGATTGGAATGTGGAACTTCAAGGATCGCAGGGTGTCTCGCTTCTCGTTTGATGGTGGGAAACGGCGCTCTGAATTTTCCGGCAGGGCCACCATCCAGTTCGAACCTCCTGACTACTCAAGGTTGTGCACATCAATCGGTGACCTGGACATTAATGCAGAGGGTACGATAACTGGTTTCCACGGTTATCATTTGGACAAGGATCACGAGTGGATTGTGAGAGACGGAAAAAAAATGGTTCTTCTTCCTAAAGAGTATCGAGGAGGTCCGGTAAGTATTCTCCCAGGACAAGGAATAGCGATCGGTGGCATGGGCGGAGGAATACTTTTCTTACAGATTGTTTGATTGAGGTTGTGGGAAGCCCCTAAGCAATGAGGGATTTGTATCAAGGTTCATATCTACTATGAAGGCATCGTGTTTTTTTCTCTACTTGACCGTGATCAGGTGCTAGTCGCCGAAGCCAGGGTTTTTGAGCTGTCCATAGCGAAACTGGTCTTTTAAACGCAAATAACAGTCGAGAAATGCTTAGCAGTTCCTGGTAGCAACGGGTGGACATTAAGCAATCACTAAGATCTTCCTGGAATCACGTCTCTGCACGCTAGCTAGTCAAGGTTACAAGGTTAAGCTTCTCTCAAGAAACTCTCCTTTCCAGGATAGGAATAAATAAAAGGACATGTAAACATCAAGTAATACTTATAGCATCTTTTATTTATTGTGTAGTTGCGGCATGCAAGCGTATTACTGTCTTCTGGCTCAATTATCCCATCAAGGACCGGGCTTCAACCATATCAAAAACCCAATATCAACACACCGTAGCATCATATCCCAATTCTAACACAGCCGCGGTCAATCAGAACGTGAACCGGAAAGCTGGATGATCATCTCCCAAATTGCTTCTCTCATCCTCTGGCAGGTTGTATCTATCGTCCCTCTTGCCTTGATCTCTCAGTTTGTTCTCACGCTTTATGTAGAGCAGAAAGACGACTGAGCTAAGAACACAGAGCCAGACGAGGCCGAGGCCCAGACCGAACCCCAAGGGGTACTCTGGAGCTTGGGAGGTGACGAACATGTTGCTAGATCATGTTAGTGATGTCTTATCCGAACATGCACCGGAACCAACATACCTAGCGATAATCCCACCGACATTGCCGATGCCGACCTGCATCGCAGAAGCAACACCCACTTTATAATGGCCAGAGTTATTGTTGCTCGCCCAAACCAGTACAATCGGTTGAGCGATGTAGCCCCCGCCGACGATACAAAATAGTGCAAAGTACCGTACCCCAACGCTGACAGACATCATGTTGAGCAGAATGACATAGCCGATGGTGGTGAAGAGACAACCTCCAAAGATGAATCCTGAACGATGCTTCAACTTGTCGCTGGCGATGGCACACACGAGTGCGCACACGGTTGCAAAGATGAAGATGGGGATCGACATGATCTGGGCGCGAATAGATGTCCATCCTAGCTGCTTCAGGATGGTTGGGGTGAAGAAGGAACCGGAATAGCTGGTGGTGACAATGCCCATATACATCAAGATGCTGCAAAAATTAAGAATAGATCTAAACAAAGGGGGTCAGCATTAGCATACCTGAGATAGATCTTGGGATCCGAAAAGATTCTCTTGGCAGTCTTTTTATCCCAATGGTTCATATGAGTGTCTTTTCTGTCCTGAGCGAGACGTTCAATGAGGAGCGCTCGCTCATCGTCGTTGAGAAACTTGGCAGACTCGGGCCAGTCCGGGATGACCCAGTAGCTGAAGATGGCGATGACAACAGTGGCAATACCCTCGAGGATAAAGATCCATCTCCAGCCACCATAACCAGCGACTCCATCCATATGAGCGATAGCATAGGCAAGTAGGCCACTGAACGCCCCGGCAATGATGCTGGCTGAAAAGAAGAGGTTGAAACGCCACTGCAGCTCGTGTCGGCAGTAGTACATGCTGAGAAGATATACGCAAGCAGGGAAAAAGCCGGCTTCGAGTCCTCCTATGATGACTCGGCAGACGACTAATCCCGCAAAAGACTGCGTCAGACCTTGACAGATGGTTACGATGCCCCATCCTGTCATGATGGCCGAGAGGAAGAGGGAGGGGCGCATGTTTTTGAGAAGAATATTGCAGGGCACTTCAAGGAGGATGTATAGGATGAAGAAGGTGAACAGGGCAATGTTGTAATCTTGGCCACTCATGCCAAGGTCGGCTTCCAAGCCCTGGATACGGGCATTTCCGATATTGATGCTGAAGCACGGAATACATCAGCAAATATGAAGTGTAGTGGCGAGGGTATTGGGTCTCACCGGTCGATGAATGCGCAAAGGAAGAGTAAAAAGAGGATGGGGACAAGATTGAAGTCGACCTTTCTCAAAACCTTCTTCTCAAGTGCAGGATCGATCCCCTGACGCTCGGCTTTCGGGTTAACATCGTAGCTGGCTCTCGCATCGGCGACATGCTCAATCTGAGCCAAGTCGTTGACCTTGTCCGACATTTTGCACGAGGTAGTGTTGTCGAATCTCGCGCGGTGATGATGGTGTTGGGACTGGAAGGCCCAGCAGATCTTTCTCTGTAGTCGACTGGAGTCAAGATGAGACAATTTGAAGCAAGGGGGATCGACGTGTAACGTTATATAATATTCCTGACAACCACATTGACCGACTTGCTCTCCCTTAGTGTTTGTGATATTGGAATCGGAATCGGAATCGTTCCGACTCGGTAATCTTCCTCCTCATCACCCGCCCCGCGTTTTAGAGCCGGGGAAGTCTGGGGTAATCTGGGGTAAGTGAGATAAGAATGACTTGACTTCTCGACTGGGAAAAGTGCGCGGGGTTGTAGCATGCATCCTGTACATAGCCCAATACGGACAAGAATCCCATCGCTTGTGTTGGTACTGTAGCATTGTGGCAACCGTCATACTGGGTCATCATCTGGCGTGTGTACAACAAGGGAGCACAGCCAATCTGCTATCGTTAGATTCCTTGAATACCTTACCGAAATAACTGCCGAAAACAAATCGGGCTGTAACCGCGGTATGTCCTTTCCGACAGTCCGAATAGCCAAACCTTGTAGATATATGGCGACACAACGTACCATTGATAACTAGAATGGGATGACTCGTATGCACACCACCCGAGGCTGGACAACGACTCATGCATGGCTGTGCATGGATCTGTACATGGATCTATATTATCACGCAGCTGAGATTGTAGCTTTGTTGGTATTCGGTCATGATTCCATTGACATGTTAAAGAATATGTTGCTTATTGTAGTGGCAGCTCACACTCGGTTGGATATGAAGCAATCGAGGCAGCATGCTTGCTACGATGGACCCCAGTTCCAGCTCCCATCCGTCCCAACTGGCTAAAAGAACACCTATTTCACCATAGGGGCTTTTCTGATCCTAGAGGCTCCTATCCCAGCTTACTCAGACGTTGCTCTCTCCTTCTGGTGCCCAGGTCGTGATCCATGCAACGGCAAAGATCAACAGCCACATGGCAAGCCAAGTGCCATTCAATCCAGCACCCCCGAGGCCCCTCCAGGAAATAAAGGCAGATAGTAGGAGGATAATGTGAATGACGGCGCAGAAATAAAGGAAGATGTCAAAGTGAACTCGTCCCTGTTTATTGTCAACCGTGCCCCGACCATATGCTTGACTTCCAAACTTACCACAAGCTTGCCAAACACTCTTCGCTGTCCCGTGGCCTCTCCAACCTTGGCCAGACACCATCCAATGAAGAAAAAGTTGAGGATGGTAAGGATGGTGCCGACGATGACGCTGACGAGCACGCTGCCGTAGGAGTTGCGGACAATGCCTAGGATGGAGAGGAATGTTCGAATGACAAGTGTCAGGCACATGGCGATACGGCGGAGCAGAGCCTTTGTGTCGCCGCCGGTGCGTAGGTCGTAGGCTCGCCAGCTGAAGCTCCAGCAGGTGCGCATGTTGGGACAGTTGCGGTCCTTCCAGCTGCCAGTGCCGGCCGCGCTAGTCTTGTTGGTGTTGTAGTCTGCCATGGTCACGAAAGGCCTTGTTATTGTGATGAGAATAAGTTGAGGAGAGAGACAGATTAAAAAAAAAAGTGACCGGGCGAGAGATGGGAGTTATAGAATTTGGCCTTGGCCCCCAAGTTCGCCTGGTCCATTGTAGGAGAGTTGTTGGCTTAAGCAAGCACTACAGTTGAAACCGATATTGGCTGTAGGATTCGATACAAGGCAGACCAACAGAGGCTGAGCGCTGAGTCACAGGAGGTCGGATAGATTAGACGAATCCTTCGTCAAGGGTCGAAACGCACTGATGAAACACATCCAGCCCTACAACCAACAGATTGCTAGGTTATAGCCATGGGGGTTCTGATCAACACCTGCACTGCCCCATCGCAATCTCAGTTCACTTATAATTAGGGACAGTGTCATTTTATGCAGCCGACGGTTTCAAAGATAATCACGCAAGCTTCAACCCAGGATGTCGTTCAAAGGATCGACCGTGTTCCCCTGCTCTATTCCCAAAATGGAAATCCCCGACGCTATCTCCATATCCACAGTTGAGCGAGGATGGAGAAGTTAGCTACCTACCCTGCATTGGTCCTAAATTTGAGTCAAGGCTCTGATATCCTCCCATAAGCCATCATTATCACAGAATTTCCATTATAATTAAAACGAAGCTTTATGAATATTTATTCATTCTCATTGTAAATATGTATTTCAACCCAATAATTTATTATCACGCCCCTCACTCTTGACTCTAGGTAGCATTTAATAAGGGGCCTTTTCTATAAACAGTAGACCTTAACTCGCTTGCAATGTCTTACAGTGTCGTGTGGCATTGGGCTGATGCGAAATAGTGGTGGTGGCGAGGCAGTAGGCGCCTCACTCTATGTAACATTCCAAATCGCCTTCAGGTAGATTTGGATATAAAGCGCTCTGTGGCGGAATCATGTCTGGATCTAGCACTGGGCTGCTCAATCCGTGGCTCGATATTGTCCAGAACATCCAGCCCAGTCTAGGATTTAACTCTTTCTGTCTAGGCAGGCCATGCGCTTTTTATTCTACCTTGAACTGAAGAATGGTGGCTCAAGCCCAGTTTGGAATTGTCGGTCTCGGTCTTCGTGGCGAAACTCAGCCCGGAGCCACGAGCCGAGACCTATCGGACTCTTTGAGTAATCTGATTCCCTTTTAAATCGACCACGACCAGCTCTGCAGTCTTAATATTATAATCATTCATCTTGGTTTGCCCTACCCGAAAGTCTTTCTTCATCTCTTACCTTCTCTCTACTTGTGCCTGCCATCAGCACATCTTTCTCCTTTCTCTTACCTCCTGAGATGAGGTGCTTGTCCATTGCACTGTTTCTAGCGGTCACTGTGAGAGCAGACTGGAAAGGCATGAGCAGATGCATGTTCGAAACGTTTCAGGCATGACAGATCAAACATTGATATTGGTAACATGACTAATAATTTTCAGGATACCATGGGCTGGAACTGCCCCGGCGACGACCAAACATGCCATTGTGGAAAGTTTGACATGGTCCTCAAGTAAGTGTGCCTGCCGCTTGCTCTACAAACCCCCAGTTGCCCATCCCGTGTTCTAACATCCCACAGGTGCGCCAATGATCTGCCTAATGAACTTGATGGTCATGTATTCTATACCGAGATTAAATTCGCATATGACGAAATTTGTGCAACATGAACAAGGGAAAGGCCAGCTAGAGGGGGGAATGCAGGATATATGCTTGAACATAGAAGCGCCTACTTTGCATTAATCATGGTCCCTGTATCAATGAATACTTCATATAGAAACCTCCTAAACTTGTTCATGCATTTATTCCTAACCCCCTTTTGTAGTTCAGCCTGTGCTTCTGAACTTTGGAAGCGGCAACGCAATTGGTGAGTGACCTCTGTCTCTGATATGAGTATGCTGACCGGTATGCAGTCTTGGCTCGCTATGCCTGGAGGATGTCTTTCAAGGAGACAACTGGGCGGGCAAATTCGGGGAGCAGCCATCGCGGCGTATTCGCTGGCCACCATCTTCGTCGTTGCCAATAACAAGTGGCCGCTTTGGGCGTCCAACTTTATTGGGGCTCTGAAACTTTTGACCCTAGTATTGTATGTTGGACCTTCTCTGTGGCATACTCAGAGAATTTTACTCATGAGTGACTTACAGGATCAGTATTACCGGTCTCGTCGTTTTGAGCGGCAACGTCAATTCTGTTCTGAACCCAACTGCCAACTTTCACAACGTTTTTGAAGACATCACTCCCAAAGGAAACGATCTTGGCAGTGCCACAGTGAGTATCGTGTTCTCATCTGCAGTTTACTCCAACGCCTTCAACGTCGTCAATGAGATCAAAAACCCGATTCCCACCCTTAATAAGAACACGAGCATGGCATTGCTAGTTGTCATTATTTTCTACATCTTCTACAGCATCGCCTACTTCGCCGTTGTTCCCAAGGGCGAGTTCAAGGAAGCTAGTGAGATTTCTGTATCCATCTTCTTTACTAAACTCTTCGATGAAGGCAGGACTGGTTCTAATGTCCCAATTTCATGGTCTTGTTGAGTGCGTTTGGAAATCTGCTTGCAGTTTTGATAGGAAACTCGCCCATGATTCGGGAGATTAGAAGGTAAGAGTATAAAAGCATAGGTGGAAGAAGTTCTGCTGCTGGCATTGCGTCTCGAAGATAAGTCGTTCTGCTTTTTACTGAGGTCTAGGTATTAACAAAGCCCTTTGATATACCACTCGGCCCTTGTTTGCTCAACTTTGCCGTCACCATCATGACCATTGTCCCGTCCGATGGTGACGTTTTGTTTTGGCAAGTTTTCCTACGGATTGCCAATCTTCAGAACTAATAATCTTTAGTCGTTAGCTTACAAACATATCCTTCAATCCTCTTCAACTTTGTCATGGCCATCGGCGTTTCTCGTACGGAGGTTAGAGCAGTTAAAGTACCCATGAGAGGCTAGACCTTTCACGACGATGTGGCTAGGTATGACTCTTCTGCTGCTGCAGAAGTTTAAATAGGCCACTGTGTTAACATCGGGGCATGATGTTATATTGTGTTTTAAATCTGTTCTTTATTATAGTTGCAGCCCGGCCCTTGATGGGTTAACTGAGCCCGAAGATCGTCATGGCCATCGGCATCTTTGTCCTCCGCCGGTGTCGCAAGCGATCTGGCCTTGGGCACGGAGAGCTCAAATCCTGGGTCTTAATAGTCATATTTTTGACCGTTGTCCAAGTGTTTGTCCTCGCCAGTTGGCATCGGGATGTGAGTATTCTTAGAGCCACCAGTATAAATAAATGCTAATGTTGGTTAGATTGGTTCTCTGTGGAGTATACTATGTCTTCTGGATGTATCTCCTCCCACGTTGGGGAAGCTATGTCATCCGACCTGAGCTCATAGAAGTCGGCACGGATGGAGCAAACACTCACGGTTTGCTCAAGATACCAAAGGCAGAGATTGGGCAATGGGGTAAGAATCACGACGAGGTCGGCAAACTGGGCCAGAGAAACGTGACTGGTTCTGGCGCATCTCCTGTGCACTAGGCATATTACAGCTATCCAACTCTAGATTCATGCTTCACGTAGTTTACCACTTGATACAGACTTTGGTATCCGAATACGCTTAGTGAGGAAATGCTCTGTTTGTGTAGCACACTCGATAGTATTGGAGTGAAAGACTTGGCTGTGCTCACATTTCTCGTTTGGTTTAGGTCGTAGACGTCTGTTAGGAGGAGGAACGCGCAAATGGGCAGATTGAATGCCTTGGAGAGATGAGATAGAGTTGGTAGAGATACGTGTATAGAGAAAATAGCCACTCTAAGGAGAGTTTATAAAGACACCTCTCACAAGCTCAGACGCCAAAATGGACAAAAGGGACCCAACTTGCTCTATCCGCGCCCGACTTATCCGCGCTGGGGCGCACGAATACACACTTTCTTGCGTCAGTCTGATTTGCTCCTACATTTGAAGATCTTGTCGCATTCCGCAGCCTTAAAGCAGCCTTGTGAAGGCTACGGCAGACGGAGTCATCTGTCATGTCCTCAAGCATATTCTCATACGTGGCCGTCGCCATCGTAACGCTGTCGTCGTCATCAACCCCCCACAAGGTTCCAATGACATGGCGGAACCCAGCTAACTGATATGCGCCGATGAGATGAACGCTCTCATCTCGAAACTTTGACATGGAAACCTGGCCAGTCTCACATGCGGAAAGGTAGGCCAAGAAAGGGTTGCCTTCGCTTAGATTCACTTCGAGAACGTCGCCCACAGTCAAGGGATCCGTTTCCCAGTCATGCAGCAGCAATGAACTGCGCAAAGGGTCGGAGATATTCTCCACACCATGGCCGGCAAAGTGGAAGATCTGACAGGTTTCGAGATGCTGGAGGACGTCTTGTTTGCGGACCCTGCTATCGCCGAGCCTGGCACTGTCGAAATCCTTGGATGCGAAGAGGGCCCCTACCATCTGGACCTCCATGGCCGCGCCCCTCAGAAGTGAGCGCTCTGGTGCGTCAGTTATTGCTACCAGAAGCGCTTTGCTTTCTTTGGGTCGCAGAAGAGAACAGGCACGACGCCGGCCATCTACGAGGGCCTTGATTGATGAGCTGTATGAGGATACAGCAAGGTCAATGACACTGTCCGTCTCACCCTCACTCGAGTGATAGCCCGCGGCGTGAAAAGGGAATCTAGTCAAGATACCAGTGGGAATCCACCAGATACGTGGCAGGCACCCGTCGGGGGCCGGCCGAGTAAGGCCCAGTTCGTTCAAGACCGGCTTGGCGATGGAATCCCAGAGCCACTTGAGCACAGCAGGCCTCTGCAGGTTCCTGGACCGTTTTCCCAGATCTTCAAGCGTAACCTCATTGAGGTTCAAGACGTGGACTTTGTCACTCCCGATCAGGATGGCATCGACACCTCGGTACACGCTCACAGTGAGAACGATAAGATGGCCCTGCGCCGCCTCATGGATTTCCTCATTGCTTGGCGGCTCTAGGAAGCGCTGGAATCCCTCCTTTTCGCGGATTTCTTTCAAAACGGTGTCAAACTCGCCACTAGCAGCGTGTTGTCGCGGTGAGTCGTTCTGAAGCTCATCCCGGAGCTCGTCAATCCGGTCAGCGAGCTCAGGGTAGTCTCGGCGGAGCGCGACCAGATCGGGACGCAACTCGGCCACAGAAGCGGCCAGTGACTGACGGCCCATCTCAAGTAGACGAAGAGCCGCATATCCATCCTTGCCGCTTTGGAGAGCCGCGGCCGCGGCGTCGGCACTGAAACCGACGACGTCGTCGGCGCTGAGCAGCCGCTGCTTGTCTGAAATGCGGATCGCGCGTGACGAGAGCCTGGGGATTAGCTTGATGGCTTCGAGGGAGACCTCGTACGCCTCCTGCCATCTGGCCATGTCGCAGCATATACGGAGCATTAGCCGGCCGGCTTGCACGCGGTGGAAGACCGATGGGTAATGGGGGCTGCCGAGGGCTTGTCTGAAGTGATCCAGTGCCTCGTCCGCCACTGACTCTGACGGAGACCGACAGAAGCGGGCGTATAAGAACAGGCCCAGGAAGTTTTGCAGATGGGCGTGAATGGGATGACGTTCCGGTATTCCGTCAAGGGTTGATCGCGCAACGTACGCCGCCTCATCAAGGTCGGTCGTTGTCTCGGAGTCGGTCATTTCGTATCTTTGGAAGAGGCGCATCGCGAGGTCGACACCAATCTCTAAGGGACTGGCGTGATTGGCTGGGGCCCTCTGTGCTTCTCGAAGTGATTGAATAGCCCTATCAAGGTCGTTCACCTGTTGTGTGACCCCAGCTCGTCCGCCAAGCGCATTTGCAAGTGTGCACAGCGCGGGCGACCTCGAAAGGGAATTCTTGCTTGCATATCGGAGTGCCTCCTCTGACAACTCGACAGCTCTGTCTATATCGCGGCGAGAGTCGCCTTCGTCCTGCTCGTAGCGTCTTTGCAAACTGGCAGCGAGGTTTAGAAGCCATTCCATCCGGCTGGCCTGCCATTTTTCGCAGGGAACAGCCGCAATGAGCTTTTCCCTGATGTTAATGGAGTCGTTCAGGTCTTTCAAGGACCCTGCCATTTGGAAACGGTCCTCGAGCCTGGCCGCCAGGGTGTTTAAGGCATGGATCTCAATGCTAGGATTGTGTAAGATGGTGTCTCTGGGTCTGTCCAGAATGGATCTAGCTTGCAGTGAGGCATTCACTGCTTCATAGCTGAGCTCGATTGCCTTGTGAAGGTCTTCAGGATTTCCATCTTCCAAGTATCGATGCCCTAAGGCCTTGGAGTAATTGCTCGCGCGCTGGACTTGACGGTTGCCGTGTCCAGTTGTGACTCCAAGGTCGTAAAGCTCTTTGGCGAGCTTGAGAGCACAGTCTAGGTGGTACCTGGAACGGCCTGACTCGAAAAGATCGAAGAGGACTACGACAAGTCGATCTCGTTCGTCCCCTCCTTGAAATTCTTCATACAATTCGAAAAGCGCAATTGCCTTCTCTATTTTTTGAGGCGATCCTTCCCCAACGTAAGCCGCGGGATCCGAGAGGCAGGATTCCAGTTCTTCGATATCGAACTCGAACATGACTGAAACTAAAGTGACGCCTACATAGAATGTGAGTCCCCAGATTGATTCAACGTTGTAAGACAAGGAATTATACAAGATTCGTGACGTCTGTGATTTTCAAAAGGCTTGAAAATGGAGTGAGAGAGAGCATGAGTTGATTGTGAAGATGTGTTGGAATTCGAAGGACAGGAGGCTAATATAATAAGGGGGTTATCAGGCAGCAGCCGATATCTGCCCTTACGGGTTAGGCTTGCATATCGATATGCATGGCAGCCATTTTGGTAACATCCCTAAGCCGGCAACATTTGTCTCATACACGCCGGGCGAAAGTGCATGTCAGAAAGGGGGTGCATGCATCGCATCGAGCCTCTCAGTCTAACCTTTCTGGTCTGTGTACTTTTAAAAGGTAGAACCCTTTTGCTACTAGTGCATGTTAAAATAATAATATTTGGCAATTTTTAGTTAAAATATATTACGTAGTTGAATTCTACGCAAGTGACTATTGTAACAACCTTAGCTCTCATGGGGTCCATTTCTGCCAGCTTTCTTTGGCTGTCATATCTGCTGCGAGGGTACAGGACGTATCAAGGGGAAACAGATCTGTTGGGTCAAACGCAGTGGCATGTTGAGAGCAGCCAGCCTAACCCTGATTTCAGAATTAGAAACCAGGCTGTGGGATCTGCCACTTCGCGTCATGTGGGAGAGGAGGTTCATCTCGACAGGACACTTAATCGAGCCGCTGATTCAAGGCGTGAAAGCCACATCAAGGGTACAGATTCCCATTTAATTACAGGTTTATCAACGGTGGACCATGCCGCAAGACCACGCTCCAGTTCAAACATTGCCACAGCTCAGGCATATCCATAGCAATCAGTGATCTAGGCACTCGAAACATAGGTTTTGGGTGGGTAGATGGGATAGAGACCATGATGAAGTCTGCAAACTGTGCCTGTGGAACGTGACTGGCTGGGAGGCATTTCTTGTCCGCTAGGCACGCGGTAGAAAATTTAAGACCTGGGTTGGCAGTTACAGTCCATCACTTTATAAGCTCACTCAAGACACTCGCTCCTTTGTACTGGTGGGCGTGGTGAAACAGAAGGAACAAAAAGTAAACCTGCCGAAGGGGTGAAGTTATAGCCTCGCTCAAATCTCAGCCTAGTTTTCCTGATACCAGGATAACAGACTTGAATTATTACGTAAATACACAAGCCCTCTAGCGCCCCTACTTAAGAAGACATGAGACTCACTTGCCTATCTCATCACATCGAATCCTTCATTGTCACATATTCCAGGTAGACAGTGTACAAGAACGGCGTATTGGCATAGACAATCCGCATGAAGAGGTCAATGACCGGCCATATGAGCGCTTCGTAACTTGTACCTGAAGGCTTATTAGCGACAAGATGCAAAGGCGACTGCGAAACCTACCTTGCACTAGCCGTCCCATCCATGTCGACAGCATGAAATGGATGTAGGCATCAAGGGCACCGACGCTATGCAGGTATCAGTAGTGGTCCAGTTGGGTGAGAGATGGGGACACGAACATCAAGCCTGAGCAAAGGATGACAGACGCCTCCAGAGAATCGGTCTGGATCGACCGCATGAACATGGTAGCGATGAAAACCGTGTACAAGCCCAGGGACATGCCTGTCGACGTCTGAAAGATGCGGATATAGGTGTCACTGATGCACATGCCCTCAACGTCTGCCTTCCACACCTTCTGGAGGGGTTGGCACTGCAAGGCAAGGAGCCAGGTGAATGCAAGGGTCCAGTATGCGGCCCGTCTCCAGGTGTTGACCACATCTGGTCGCGCGGGGTGGAGCGTGTCAAGTTTTTCGATAAAGAAGGAGATGATGCTGAGCTTGGTAGCGCCGTTTGCGAGGGTATACTGCGGATTTCGCGTCAGCGGTGGGGATTCCTTAGATATTGCGGACCACTTGCCAGCAGGTCGCTCAGGTATTTAGACAAGAGCAAACGTTCGATATCGGAGTCTGAGAGGGCGATATAATCACTGCCTTGACGGATCTCTTTTCTCCTTGGTCAGCGAAAGAGTGTTCAAATGGTCCACACATGTGACGATGTACCAGGCCAGGCAACCATCGAGTTTGCAATGGCGAGCACCTGCAGTGGATATATTAGCTGTGTTTGTTCGCGCAGAGAGAAAGAAGCGGCGTACGTAAGCGATGACCATCAAGATATCGGAACCATGATTGTACAAGCTTGGGTTACCCTGGATGGCCGACTTCGATGATCCTCGCCGCCAGAGGCGGAGCATCACAAGGAACATGGCCAAAACATGGAGGTAGAAGGCGGCGGATCAGATAGTTAGGTCGGATGATTCGTCGTGCATTGCGAAATGTTGTTGATGGAATAGCTGTGGAAGATGGCCGGGATCTCGCAACCTTTGAATGCAGTGATGCAAGAGTTAGTAGTTGTTGAAGATTTAGTAGAGTGAAGATAGAGAGGAAGTGCCGTGCCCCGCCAAGAGCTGTTGCCAGTGCCGGCCACCTGCTCCTTCCTTCGTCAGTCTTAGCAGCCTCCTCTGGGAATTACTTCAAGGCACAATTCAATTCATTAGATGCATGCTTCTTCACTTGTCAGTAACTCCAAGTTAACGAGGTATAAGCTACAAGAATTGCCTGAGTTGCTGTGGCCTCATGGTACTCCTTCATAGATGAGTTGGGTTTTCTAGATTGGGCATATCTGCTCTTCACAAAGGACAGGCATCTTTGACGACACAGAATGTGTAGTAACAAGGAATAATTCAAAGGAGAGCAATAATCATACAAAAGAAAAGCCTCAGGGCTTGTCTACCCTATTAGTTGTGTGAAACCTCAGAGTACCATCTGTTCACCCCCTAGTCGACCACCTGGTAACACCCCGGGCAGTTAAAGCACAGCGGGTCATCCCACACACCGTTGAACAAAGAAGGACTGTCAGTCTGGAGAGGGATTGGATCACTGGGGTTTGTGGACAGCTGGAAACCAAAGAACAGGCAGTGGCCGTCCTTGTAGCCTGAACCCTTGCAGCCCACCATGGCCCTGCAGATGGCGGCGCACTCCCCAGATGAGCGCTGCAGCGGATAAAAGTCATCTAACTCGTTGCCCGTACTATACATGCTGGACAGGTAGGCTGGGAGGTTGCAGATGATGTCTTCTGAGGTCATAACGCGTGTGCAGACGTCACCTTCAGTGTAGGAGCAGAGCTCGCTGGGGATGTTGAGAACATCTTCTGGGATGCAGTCTGGACAGATCCAGCAACTGTTATCCGACCAGACTGATTGTTTCCAGGGCTCTTCGTCAAAGTAGGTCATATCCCCAGGGGTCAGGATGGCGCTCGTAAACAAGCAGTGGTTGCCAACTGAATAGTACCCCGCCGATCGACAATTCTCGAGTGTCTGGCAAATGGCGGCGCATTGTTGGTAATTATCCTGGTGGGGGTAGTCATTGCGATTCTCGGTCCACGTATTGCCGTTGTAGACTGCGCCGACGCCGCAGAGAAGAGCGCCGTGGTTGGTCCAGCGATCCATTTCACATTGCTCGCCATGGGTGTACCGACAAGTGCTGGTCGAAGACTCGGCGGGGGCTTCCGAAGTGGTGGTGGGACGTCTAGAAGGCGTGGGTGTAGAATTCTCCCAATTGTTAAGGGTGGTTGAATCTCGAGTAGGCCCGGGTGTTGAAAGCTCCCCTTGGTTGAGAGTACTTGGACCCCTTGGGGTTGTTGGCGTTGAATACTCCCCTCGATTACTCGTACTTAGTTCAGGAAGCCAAGAGCTTAAGCTAGGCATTTCATCGCACAGCTGACAGTTGAAGCAGTCTAGGTCAGACCACTCGAGTATGCCATTAACCCTAGGAGTCGGGTTCGGCGACCACGTAAACTCGCTCAGGCGCTTCTTGAGGAAGATGCACGGCGAGTTGGGCTCCCCGGGGTTCACGGCAAAAGAAAAACAGCCGTCCATGTACGCGCACGTGAGGCACACTTCTGGATGTCGAGACCCTGGAACGGTCTCTCCTGGAGAGAGTATTGGTACCACTGTGCGTTGGGGTAACCGCGTCGCTCGCAGGTGAGCTCTGAGGGAACGGGCCATTTCTGACCACAGAAGCCGGGAGGCCGGTAACCATCAGGGCAGACGGGCTGAGAGGGGATTGCTGTACTTGGAGACTGTCCACCTGTGGGAGAGGCAGTGTTTCTTGTGGGTGTATGCCAGTTGCCGGGGGTGGACGGGCTGTTGACGGGGGTATTCCCGCTGTGAGCAAGGGAGGAAGAGCTATTGTGTGTGCGCCCACTGTATGTGGGTGCGTTCCAGGTTTCTGTTGGGGTGTAGAGAGGAGTGTGCTCAGACTCAATGGTGAGAGAATTGGCAGTGCTACTGCTTCTCTTACTGGGAGTGCCAGGAGTGGAAAGGGGCCCTTGGTTCGAGCTGACCGTGGGCTTCCACCCTGGGGTAGAGGGAGTAGAAAGAGATTTAGAGCTAGATCGAGAAGTAGAACTAGAGCTCCTCCTAGTGCTGCTGGGTGAAGGGTTGTTGGGACTATCCTCAAAGTTCAGCTGGAACCGGTCAATGTTCTGAGGCGTAACCTGGTTCGAGATGAAAATTGAGTCGACGTAGAGCTCGGCATATCCAGAGCCCCAGCAATCCATCCAGATGCCAAAGTTGGCACGAGTAGAGTCAGCCATAACGGACGTTAGGACTCTATTCCAGCCGACACTGTGGCCCATGACAAAATGATCGTTGAAGTAGAAGTACCGGTTGCCGAGCCATGCCTCGACGGTGCACATGTTCCAGCCTCCCCCATAGTTGATAACGGCGTAGTAGAACTGGACTGTGTAGAGAACCTTTGTGCTGGGGCGGAGGAACCCTAGCCACGTCGACATGCCTGCGAATGTGTCCAGGCTGCGTTTTGCCTTGGTCGGTGGAGCCGCACCACCGCCATTTGCTCTCATGGCAGCACATCCATCATCAGGGCTCCCGTCGTCCTTGAAGCAGCCTCCGATGTGGTGGGTGACATCGCCCGATATTTCCAAGTCGCCAAGGCCATCTGAGAATCTGCCACCGGGGAATGAGTTGGTGATCACGAAATGTTCTTCGATGATGGTGGTTGGCGAATCGCTTGTGGTTGGTGACTCGCTCGATGTCGGCGGTTCCGTCGATATCAATGTATCGCTGGACTCTAAGGATTCACTTGACGTTGGTAACTCGGCTGATGTTTGTGACTCGGTGGGCTCAGTATCGGCTGAAGTCGGTATATCGGTTGACGTTGGTGCTTCCGTTGACTCCAAAGGCGCGGTCGACACGGATGACTCTGCAGAAGATAGCGACTCACTCAACGTGGAAGGCTCAAGCAAGGCACTGCTTGGGATATCGGTCGATGAGAGAGCATTTGTTGCTTCCGTCTCGGGCAGTGCTGTCGAATCCAGAGGCGATATCTCGACCTGTGAAGAAGTTCCCTCGGGTGGGGTTGCGGGGGAAGAGGATGGCTCCAGAGATGCACCAAGGGAGGAAGCCCCAGAGGACTCTGGAAGTGTAGGCTTCTCTGAAGCAAATTCTGTTGATCTGCGGTGCCTGAAAGGGGACCTTTGGTCTTTGTTGTAGAGGCCGCTTTGCTCTTCGACGACGTATCTGCGGTAAGAGGGAGAGTCGTTGTACTCGTCTCCCCTTCCTGACCAATGACGGAGATACTGTCAGACTGAGTTGCCAGAGAGCTAGTAGTACTGGATTCATCAAAGTCAATGAGTCTACCGCCGACGCATTTCTCGACTATCAGAGTTAGCATTAAAGACTGGGCAAGGTAGTTCAGGACTTACCGCCATAGATACTCAGCTGCACCGGTGTACAGTTTGGTGGCCCCATGGTAAAGACCATGTACACCAGGCCGCTGGAGGAGTCTTGGCAGAACGTTGCCTGGCCATTGGGTAAAGAGGGGTTCTTGAATTGAAGAGTTTCCCCTTCGTTGGCAAAGGTCCTCGTAATGGCACCATCTGGAGGTGATCCGAGTGCCTGAAACGCCTGGTAGCCTCGCCTTGGTAGTAAATAGGGACATCTCCGTCAAAAAGCTCACCCGAAGCAGAACCCGAGCCAAGTGTGAAGACGTTGGCAAAAGTGCAGACTTGGGGGTTGCTGTTACCCACGAATCCTCTCAGCTCTCGCTTTGAGACACCTCCTGATGGGGTAATGAGAAAAATCACTTGTTGGCCAGATGGTCCAGGTCCTGTTCAAGTTTCGGATGATGGTGTATCAGAAGTCGCTGACGGGAGATCAGATGCTGGTATAACGATAGACGACGAATGGCCGGAGACTGTGACACCAGAAGGTATTGATGACTCTCCTGAGCCTGTTGGTTGTCTCCCAGGAGTGTTTACGACATAGGTTGGAGATAAAAACTCTGATTCAATGTTGAGCGTTGGGGAACTCAGAATAGGAGCCAACGAGTCCAAGGCTGTCGATTTCGGAGCTGCACCGGCAGTGCCGATGGGAGCCAGGTAGGTCGATAAGTAGGTGACGCACCATGACCCTGATACCAGCTCCGCATGCTCGATAGCGCTGGCAGTATTGATGAAGCCTCCAAAAACTGCAAGCGCAGTGACTTGGTGCTTCATGGTAGCGGTTTGTGGAGGGCTATTCGAGTAGATCCGACCATCATGGCCGACCCTGGATATTAAGAGACGATATCTCAAGATGTTGGTGGCAGCTTAATCGAACCTCCCGTTCCAGCAGTGTGTCTCGCCCTCTGAAACACGCGACCAATAATGTCTCAGGGGAAGGTTGGGCTGAGTGTCTCGACCACGGCCCCATCGATGGAGGCGGGCTGAGCCCTGAAGCAAAATTCCTAAAACCTTAGGCAAGGGGGCTGATTTCCTCAATCGTCTTTGGTTTGTAGCAGAAACCGTGAGTGTCAGCCAGCCACCTAGGACGCCCATAATTCACCACAATTCGCGACTAGAAACGCGAGGGGATCCCTCAAGCCACATTGTTCCTAATCGCGTAAGATCAGCCCAGATTCGTTCAATGTTCCGGGCTTTGTGCCTATTTTGCCAGGTTTTCATAAAGAAGGGCGGCAACATGTCGGCGCAGGCGAGTGGCTTACTTGCCAGACCTCCTTGTAGCGATCCTCGCCGAATCCCTTTAGGAGTATGATCTGCTTGTTGCAAAACGGTGAATGGGGCTACTAAAAGCATCATTTTGCGACTTGGAGGAACGTGAATAATGGCAAATAATGGAGCAGGTTTGGAAGGACAAACACACAGGCATCTTTGCCGTATTTGCTTCCTATGGTCTTTGTTAACTGAATCCAAGTACTTGAAGCTCAGGCCTTTTGTAAACAAGATCCAATTAATGATTATATACAAATTATTGGACGTGCATGGGAGGCCACCACTTACCAACCCCTGAGGCCCTGGCTAAGAGCGGAAACAGAGACGAGTACAAACTTCTACACCTAGACGTAAAAAAATATCTGATAGTTGAAACAACTGGCGCCAAGCTTGAAGTGGATGTTCTCGTTCTGGCCCCATTCCCGTCTTGTCCCCCTTTTGACACCCCAATTCAAGGCCATGCCAATCGGACAGGGCTGAAACAACATATCAATGCGCCCCTTTCCTCCCCTGACTTGAGTAAAGAGAACCACACGACTGCTAGGCTTCTAACTATTGCTAGCCGCAGTAAATAAGCCCTTCCAAGTATCACGCCACGGTGGCAATCGATTAGCCTTGAGCGAAGAGGGAGTACCAACGCCATCACTCGGCGGGAGACTGGAGTTGGTGTCAAGCTCCAGCATGAACTGCTGGTACTCTTGGTCAAGAGTCGACTTGTTGTTTTGGTGGGTGTCAGTAGCCTGTCGTTGGTGAGGGTTGGCCGCCGCCCGATCATCCCGGAGAGCCCCGATCAGGCGATTAGCGCCTTCTTGGTGCTGCTAACTTCTCGTCGCTTCGAAAGGTTCTGCTCATGACAGCGAGATCACGAAGCTGTTGGGCCTTTCGCTTGTTCTCATGTTCAGGGGCAGATGTCGTAGTATCAACAACGTCCTAGATGCGCTTATTGGTCTCGTTAGCCTTGTGCTGGGAGTTCGCGGCGATGAGGCAATGAAGTAGCTCCCTATCATAGTCAGCAGTCTTCAGGTTTGCCCTTCCTCTGCCTTCCTTGTCAGGGACCCTGCCGCGGACGATAATGTTGGCACCGGGTTCAGCATTCATCGTCTTGAGGCTACTGCCCCGTGAGCCGAGGATCTGGGCGATGAAGTTGACAGTCGGTAACTGGGAGGTAGACCTTTCCGATGGTCTGGATCATGGGTTACAATAGTCGTATGGCAGACGGTCGGTGGGAATGATCCTCATGGCTGTTTCCATCAGCTTATGCCGCTCCTTCTCGAGACTCCTGCGACACCGTTGCTCTCGAGTGTTCGTTCATCTGCCAGTTCCATCATATTCGGACGGAGGCGATTAAGACCGGGGTCTATTAGTCGGATTGAGTTGATTGGCATGTAGTTGTTTTGTGATCTCGTCAACACGAAAGATTACCACGTAGACATCAAGTCGCTCGCTCGTCATGGTTGATGTAATAAAGGTTGGCAGTCCAGGTGGCACCGTCGCTGACGTTTCGATACTGGTCGCTCAGAGCGTGAATTCTCGGAATTTCGGCATCGAAAGTTGGTAGAGACGTTGGACTCGGTGTATTAATGTAAATGTGAAGAAGGTACTTCGTGATGACGAATACTGTGGAGGCTATGTCAGGTACCTAGATGATGTGTTTTGATGAGGCCTCGGGACTTTCTTATACCACTTATCAAGTGTTTGGAATAGAGTTCAGCCACTCTACATCTTGAAACATTGAGTCAGGCGACAGTATTTGATTGTGAGATGTTCCTCAATGGCATGATTTGTTTCTTGCGGCTGTGGCTGGTCTAATTACTGAACAGCTGAGTGTGGTCATCATTGACAAGGGATGATGTGGTCATGAAGTTCTCAGACGTCCTTATTTTCACTACTGTGATGTAATACTTTAACTATGACATAAGCGTAACCATCGCCACAGAATATTTATGCATAGGTCACAACCTCATTGTTGTTGTGAACCTCCCACCATTAAACCTCATGATTGGTATCAAAATACGCCCGGCTCCTTTCCTCTCAGCCTACCTTCAAGAAGCCGGATATGATAGAATCCGTAGAGTCTTGAATAACCATTATTACTTAGAGCCGGTCGCAATTGCAAAGAAGATTTCACTCTGTTGAGTCACATGGCTGCCTAGACGGACTCACGTTGGAATACGACCGAGATGGACACATCATGCATGGCATGCTCGAAGCTCTATTACTCATGGCCCAGCCAGCTTCAGAAGAGATATATTGATGCTGGTTCTCATCTAGTCCAGCCTCATCATTCTCCTTTTTGGTATCCCCGTCCTCGTCCACAACCCCTCATCATGAATTACCCCTCTCTCCCCAGGCGATACGTCGTCTCCCATTTGGACTTCTCTTACCCCCGTCTTCAACTTCCACGAAATCGCAATCCCCGGGTCTTCTGGACCTGCTTGCCCGGAGTCACCAGAATCACCCAGGGGCGAAACAATTGCCACATCAATTTTGAAGTCGCCCAACTCCCCGAAGGACCGTGGCCCCTGAGAATTGACGGCGTCCCCTTTACAATCCACAGCCCAGGAGACAATGAGAGCAGAGGCTATGGAAGATTCCTCCTTTTCCCCTCCAGAAACGTCCGATTCGGGTCCCCTCTCATCTCCATCTGCGAAGAACTTGATGGTAGGCAAGCCGCTCTGTCTGATGAGGAGATGCGCCTCATAACGACTGAGCTCGCCCGAGAGCTTTCTAATTGCGCCCCCGAGGTAGATCTTATAGAGGTGATTTTCGCTTCAGACGCAATGTTCTACATTGTCCTCAATAATGAAGCCAATCTGACCCCTATTCGTTCTCAACTCCCCGGCGTGATTGCAAATTGCGGTGCTGGCTACTGCCTTGAGAGGGATTTTGATAGACCCGATTGGAGGAGCTGGAAGGAGAGAGAGACGCCTGCGTGTATCCCGATCAGACGGGGGCCGGTATTTGGCATGATATCCGGAACCAGGGCTCCCACTTCTGCACCGTCAGCGGCAGCCTGTACGACCCCAGGCATCCTGGTGAAGAACGCGAAAGGCCAGTACTTTTTAACTATCGCCGCGCACTGCATTGGACGAGGAGATCCAGACGCCTACTTCAGTCTCTCGACTGGCCAGATGCAACCCATCGGCAGGGCTGCAGCCCAAGTACCCTTCACCGACGTTGCCCTCATCGACATTAAAAGAACCAACTTTCATCAGCACCTCTTCCTGGACACGGGCCATGAGCTACCGGTAAGGAGACTCCTGGGTGAAGACCCAAACGACCAGCTCAACTGGAATCACATGGTCCGTTTCAGAAGTCCCATCGCTAATGATTTGGACGGCGTCATCGTCGCGAAATCTGCCAGACCGAAAATCAACCCTTTCAACATCGACGAACCTTTTCAGTGCGTGGTCTACCACTGGGCTTTCACGGGCCAGGTCGAGGACGCGGGGGATGACGACATGGCGCCGAGACCTCCCGCGGGGACGTCAGGGGCTGCTGTCGTGGATGAGGAGGGTATTTGCGTGGGGTTGTTTGATCATTTCATTAGTCAGGGGCCGTGGGCTGGATTTTCTGTAATTCTTAGTACAAGCGAGTTGGTAAAGGCCGGATACCAGCTTGTTGGAGGGGAGGCGCCGGAGGAGGACCATGTACATGAGCAAAGACTCCAACGTTGTTCAGGTAACAGACTGGCTTCACTTTAAACCGCGTGCTGTGCCATTATGTCAATACCCTACTTTATTATGTGAGAACGGAGGGAAGCAAAGTACTGGGTTTTCGTGACGTCGTAAACGCCACCAAGTTCACAAAACAGGGGAAGTGGGCTGGTTGGGGGTACCACAGGTTGGGGATGCCATGTGCTTCGTTATTCTACTATTTATATTTCTATTGCAATGCTTCAACCACTCTCTCAAGTCCCATGTCGAGATACTCATCAGGATGTGAAAAGACAATTCTAAACCAGCCAGGCTTCTCAGATCCAAAGGCCTCTCCAGATGCCAAAAAGACCTTCTTTTCAAGCAGCTTCTTCATCACCAATCCTGTGATATCCTTGCCGTCTTCCACCGCGTGTCGGGCTCTGTATGCCTTGCCGAGGTCAACCCAGAGGAAAAAGGCCGCGTTGACACCTGGAGCGTAGGTGATGTCGTTCTTTTTTGCCCATGAGACAGCCCTTTCGTATTGAGCTGCTAGCTTCTTGCGGTTTTCGGCCATGTACGACTCGACAAAGGTGTCGTCTTCAAGGAGATTGATCGTGACGTGGTCTGAGATGGAAGAGACCGAGCTATAGAGACCAACCGCCACAAGGGCAGTGTGCAGAGACGGGTTCGACTGAGAAATGAGTGCTCCGACGCGGATGCCGTTAGCACCAAAGTCTTTAGACATGCCCCAGAGGACATGCACGAGACTCGGGTCGATAACTCCAGTAGTATCGATAGTGAGAGCAGACTCGAAAGGTACAGGAGGAGGATTCGTGTCGACAGTATTGGGCCATGTAGACAGGGCGTAGATCTCATCGCTGATGAAGTGGGCCTGATACTTTTGGCACAACTTCATGAGCCCAATAAGGGCATTCCGAGAGTAGCAGCGACCCAATGGGTTATGAGGGTGGCTGATGACGAGACCTTTAACTTTGAGACCCTTATTCTGAGCGTCGACAATGACTTCTTCGTACTTGGCCACGGCGTCGTCTCCGAGAGGGTCGACTTCGTTGAAGGCAACGGGGAGAAGTTTGGCTCCAAAGCGGCAGGTCAGGTCGGGGATAAAAGTGCCGTAGTATGGCTGTCCGAGAAGAATGGCATCTCCAGGGTCTGCAATCGCCCAAGAAAGATGCTCGATAGCAGCACTGCATCCATTCGTCATGGAAATATGCGCCGGCTCGATAGCCCGGACCGGCTTCAACTGTCTCGTCAAGAACCGCGCGACAGCCTGCTTGGCCCTCTTCGTCCCTGTAGTGCCATCTCCATAGGTGAATGCCAGATTAGACAAGGCCATGTTATCGTGGATATGCTTCTTGAGGACATCGTGCATCAGAGTATTCTCCGCAACGCCGAGACTAACGATGCCGTCGGGGTTAGACTGATCCCACAAGTTGGTAATGACATCCCAGATGACCATTCCTTTACTGCCCTCCTCAGCTTCAAGCGCGCGATTCGAAAGAGTCATTGTAGCTGATTACAAAGAAGTTGTGTTGGATGAAAGAGTTATCGAACCACAACGACTCAAATGCAGGTTGATATAGATGGCTACCGGTGACCGATAGCCGCCACAACCCCATTTTGTTTGTCATTTACCGCCCCAAGCCGTCAAAACCCCCATTCTGCCTATCGAGTTCTGTCCAATCAGCCAAGAAGAAGACGTCTCTTTTCGTGTTCTGCGGAGACGTCCAAGGGCGATAATGACAAGTCGGCCAAATTATGAACCATCACCGACCGCACTGAAAGAACTTGGGGTTCGAGTTTTCGGGACCAGTCACCACGGTCCGATGCCGGCGTTGGTAAATGGACATTGGCCTTTCAGAGCAGAAATGTTTGTAGTTAGGATCTATGTATTTCTTTTCAAGTGAGACGAGCTCATCAAGGCACTCCGAGGTTCGGAGACCGAAACTTCAATTCGAGATCGGAAGCTGATCCGATGTGCCTTGTTATTGAGTGAAATCGACAACACGGGTGGTCTTTAACTTGATATATGGAGTGCCGCGTACCTATCAGTGCAGGCATAGTTTCATGTATAAACCTAGGATATAATAAATTGACTATGGAATTACTATCCTGGTTGTAAGCTGACCAATGTGACTCTGTCGTTCTGAATGTCGCCATTCAACGCCGAGATTGCAACATTTCCAAGGCAGTCAGAAATAACAGAATCGGCTCGTTTTTATGTGCCATATTAAACTATTTACACTCAAAAATATTTAAAACAAGTCGCTTATTATTTCTTTCACCGCTTGCCATAATGCGACGAGGTGAAAGCTGAAGTTTGCATGCACTCTTCATTCATGGGCCGAAAGCATCACTGACGCAATCAGTTAGCGCGCTTGTACCGAACACCTTGAGCTCCTATCTACCAAGCAGAAATATCCTCGGTCTTCGGGCTCAGTTAACCCATCGAGGGCCGGGCTGCAACTATAGTGAAGAACGGATTTTCAACACAGAGCTATCCTCACTCAGGGAGCCCATCGAATTAATACACTTGACAAACCCTTGTCCACTGCATGCTGTTGCATAGCCACGTTCATTTTCAGACCAAACGTCATTTGATAGCGCCATGCAGGTAGGCTGATTTTCAAGGTCAGGCTGAATCCAATCCGATACAAGAGCGGTTTCACACCTCAATATTTCACGCCATCATGCGCAAAAATGGCTACGTCTTCGCCAACATACACGCCACTTGGCGACCCATCGTCGAATATCCGGCTGTTAGAGATCCACGTTCGAGAGTCGAAGCGACGTCCTGCCGTGACATGTCGCATGAGGACTGTTCCCCTCAATGACGCTCCGCCATTCGCGGCCTTATCTTACGTTTGGGGAGACGCCCATGACCTTGAGAATATCGTCGTCAATGGCCAACTCGTATCAGTTACCAAGAACCTCGAGGCTGCACTTCGTCATGCTCCCTTCTTCCAAGATATACATCCTGCTTGTTCTCCGACATTCCTGTTATGGGCAGATGCTATTTGTATCGACCAGCAGAATAACCCAGAGCGAGGGGCACAGGTCCAGCTCATGGCAAAAATATTCCGACAAGCCGAATGCGTCTTCGCGTGGTTGGGCTCTGAGGATGAGGACTTGGCATTCCGATCCATGAGGCCAATTCTTCAGGAGATGACCCGTACGGGCGAAAACAATATCAGAGACTTGCGATCATTGGCTTCGTTGCAATGGCTAAGACCATACCCGGAACTTTGCGATAACCACGTCTTTGTCACAAAAGATGAGAGCCTTCCCAATATTCCGACCATCTTCAACGCTACCTGGTCAGCAATCAACGACCTCGTGTCAAGAAAATATTGGACGCGGGTCTGGATCTTCCAGGAAGCCGTGTTAGCAAAGCGTCTCATTCTAGCATGCCCTACCTCGGCCATGAGCTTTGACGACTTGGGGGCTATCGCAAACATCATGAAAACGCTACAGCAGTTTCTGAGAACTGTACCATGTGCCAAACCCAACTTCTTGGGGAGTGCGGCGTGGTACTTTATCAGAGACATCATCGACTGGAGCCACATCGTCGTAATCGGCCAGCAACGATTCGGTCGAGCATCCAAGCCTAAAGAAATGGAACAGAGGATTTCCATGGCAATGACTGGGTTTAGGCTAGACGCGACTGATCCGAGAGATCGCGTGTATGGTCTCTTGGCTTTGACAGGCTTGGATATCAAGCCAGACTATACCAGATCTCTAGGAGAGGTCTATACCGAGTTTTCAAGGAGGCTGCTGGAGATAAATCGGCTTCAGAATGTTTCCCAGGAGCTTTCGTGGCTTCAATTTGCCGGGGTGGGTGTCTTTGACCAAGTCTCCGCATTGCCATCCTGGGTTCCAAACCTGCAAGGCAGGTCTCAGATGAAGGTCCTTCTTTCGACTTCAACAGCCTACAAAGATGGTCTCGCGGCCTTTGCAGGAGCCGCGTTCATTAAAGACAATACCTTGATAGTTCCAGGGGTTGAAGTCGACGTGGTCACCAAGGTGCACAGCTTTCCCCAGGGGGGAATGACCGGAGGTATGACAGAGATTATGAAGGAAGTGAAAAATGGTATCCAACTCTTTTCAAAACCCCAAGCTTCTCGCCTTTCCAACAGGCCTAGTACTCCAACCCCGCCGGCCAGCGAGCAGTCTTCCCAGGAGAGTAGAATCGATGAGAAGTGGCAGGCTCCGTATCACTTCCTGGTCGAATTTGTTTCCAAGCACCCCGAGGAGTACAAAAACGGCACCCCTCCTCTACAAGCTGCTTTGCGTATCATCTGGTGCCACCCAATAGCCAGAAAAGTCACGGGCCAAACAGTCATGCGCGGCATAAACTTTCTCAAGTCTCTATCCGTCCACGGACCCAGCCAATCAAGCGAAGAAAACCTCAAAAGGTTAGGTTTTGTCCCAGATGACAGTTTCGACCGCACATTCTGCGAAAAAGTGTTTTCAGTCGAGGGACTTGAACACGAGATCAACGCCTACCAAGGCAGTCTTCGGCAGGAGTTTACAAACTGGGAACCGGTGGGAGGTGTGACAGAGGCTATGGAGCTGGATTATCGTCTAGCGGATCTAAGTAGTAGTTGGAGGTTTGTTGAGACGAGGGAGGGATATATAGGGCTAGGACCGAAGGGTGCGGTGCCGGGAGATGTTGTGGCGATTCTCAAGGGGAGTGATGCGCCTGTGATACTCAGGAGGAGTGAAGATCATTTCAAACATGTTGGAGCGTCTTTCATTCTTGGTTTGGTGGATGGTGAGCTTTCAGAGAGCATAGAAGAAGGGAAATGGCCTGTCCAGAGCTTCAGGATCCTTTGAGGCTATGATTAGGTGAGTAGTTGAGTTACCTTATCGTAATAGCAAGCTAGTAGTGACTATCTAACTTGAAGGTGATGTTCTTTAAAAGCACCTCTCACTATTGTTTCCATTGAGAGGAGAGTCGAAACCATTCGGACCGATTTGTCTTGGCTCCCCGTCTTCAAGCGGAGAGCAGTCCGCTTTGCCCCACGGCAAGATCGCCGAGATATGGCGAAGGTCTTACTAGAGTTGCAGGTAAGAGTTTACTCGAGAATCTCATGCGGTAACGTAATTGACAGTAAAATCCCCAGATAGACGCGGTTTTCCTAGATGAAAAGGATGCGAGGGGATTCAGGAGGGGTGGGCTGTGGCTATGGGCCTACCCTATGGCTATTCATAAAGTAGGATTTCTATCGAAAAAAGAGACATTCTTAGGCATAATACTATCTTCAACCTAGTTAGTCAACATCGTGAATTTAATTAAAATTAGCTCGCGGGTTTACCGTATGTAGTTAACGTTTCAACCCTGCCAGATGCATCGCTTCATCCCTACACGTCGGTAACACTCAAAAGAACAGCATCAGTGCGCTTTGTCTCAAGTATCGTTAGGACACTCGGGAAGACTTTCAGTCAGCCACTGACGTGCATTTTAACGTTATACATACGTCTATTCTTATATCGTCCGCTGGTATTAGTACTAAATTAGGCCAAGCGTACCAAGGCGTAGTGGTGCAATGCGGAGTTTCCTTCCTCGGCGGTTCTTGCGGGCAAATACCCCGACCTGAAGGTCCAGCCGATGCAACCGGGGACATACATAAACTCGCTGACCGCACCTCTATGCTTTCAAACCTTGATATCAATTTGAAATTATTCAACCTGATCATCTTTAGTTGACAAGAAATGGCACCCAAAGTGTGGACTCGCAATGCACCACCTGGTGCGGCTTTGGACAAGGTCCAGGAAGCCATCCGAAATCGGAGCCCCTCAGTTCCGATTCCAAAGCCATCTGCAGATGTACGCCATATGATGTTGCGAGAGAGACAAGTGCTGATATGTGTTTGCAGGTTGATGAAATCAAGGCCGATAGCGATTCTTTCACTTTGGCATCATTCACCACAGAGGACGCCTTTGAGTTGGGAAACTTGCTCTACGCCCGTCTTTATCCCTTTGCGCTTGAAGGCAAGCCAACTGTGATTTCCATTTCCCTGGCAAACAGCGCCCAAGTTATTTACCAAAGCGTCACCGGACCTGGTGTTACGCCAGACAACGAGTCTTGGGTTCGACGTAAGAGGAACACGGTTCTCAGATTTGGTTACAGTACTTGGTTTATGCACAACAAGTTCAAGGGCGACGAGGTGGACTTTGCTGCCAAGTTTGCCATTTCCGACTCGCGCAAGGGCGATTACGCGATCCATGGAGGCGCTATTCCCATTCGCGTTCAGGGAGTTGAAGGAATTGTCGCCATTGTCATCGTTAGTGGTCTCAAGCAGGATGAAGACCACGGTGTGATTGCAGATGTGATCAAGAACAACTGGGTTTAGAAAGTTATACTCAATCAGTGAATAAACTCAATGTCTCAGTGAAAAAAACTCGTCTCAGAAATGAACCACTATTGCGTCACTCGAGGCAACCAAAGTGGCCTGATGCTCCTAAAATGGAGCCACGAGGATGCACAAAGTGGATGCGTTATGCACCAAGAGCATCTTATGCGCTTAACAAAACACAGGCTCTAGCGCGTGGCCTGCCGCTTGCCGGATCCATCACCAGATGGACCGCCAAGGATAGGTAAGCCAGCCATCCAAAAATTCCATCCAAACCTGATACCCGACGACCATGAACGCGACCAAATGGCGAATCTCAAAGGCCTGCCAGGAATGCCGCGTCAAAAAGATAAAGTGCAACGGCGAGACGCCCTGCCAGAATTGCAGGCTCAGGAGTCTGGGCTGCGTCTACCGCGAAAAGGCCCGCAACCGCACGCGCAAGGTCAAGCCGCGCACCGCCGCCTATGAGTCCATCATGTCGCACGACGCCATGGCCGCGTCGCCTTCGCTGGAGCCTTCCGACGAGGGCACAAACGTCCCTCCGACTCCTGTGGCTGAGGATGCTGCGTCGGTGGCTCCAGCTGCCTCGGCGTTTGGCAGCGATAGGAGTATAAACAACAACAGCGTTGCCGCTGCTCATCGCGCATCACCGTCATGTTACCTTCAGCTGTACTATGGACCTTCTTCGAATTTCGCCCTTCTCAACGCTATTTATCATCAGATTGCCGGGACAAGTCCTAATGATCCAGCATCACGCGCTGGAGTTGAAGAGGCTGGTCCTGGTCTGGACTTGTTTAGCCATCGGAGATTATTCTTTGGAGACTTTGCCGATAACAAACGACCAGCTTCACTCGCAGAAGACTATTCAGCAATGTTGATAAATCCCGAAACGGCTCATCGTCTACTCGAGAGGTATCTTCTCACCTACTACCATGGACTACCAGTCATGAGCAAGGACAGCTATCGCCGTCGTCTAGACGTGCTGTTTCAACCACCAGGCATCTTTGATTATGATGCACCAGAAACCATCATAATCATGCTTGCTGTTGGACTAGGGGCATCTATGACGGGGGAGGAGGCTATCGCAGAGTTTCTGTTTCAAAAAGCGAAGCAGGGGGCGGCCAAGTTGGACGAGGTTGTCAACTTACAAGTGGTTCAAATACACCTCATGATGATAAGTTTTCCTTTCCATGATATTGAACTCATAGGCTTACAAGTACCACGGTCATTTCCAGTCAGAAAGGGCACGCCCAAATTCAAGTTTCCTGCATATAGGCACTGCAGTCAGAAAAGCCATCGCCGCTGGCCTGCATAAAGACGCCGACATGTGCCCAGGACAATCAAGTGCGGATGCCGACCAAAGGAGAATCATGTTCTGGAGTTTGTTCTTTTGGGAAACGTACGTACAGCATCAAAAGACACTCACGCTTTACTGACCGACGTAGGTGGCAATGCTTTGTTGTTGGCCGCCCTAGTTCCATTCCAGATCCAGGTCCAGCCATTACTGTCCCCAAGGACCAAAAACATCTAATATCATTGGTCACTCTGTCACGAATCATGGACAAGTGCGTGAAGCGCATCTACAGTCCAAAACATGATTCATTATTGCCCGTGTGGAATGCGGCAATCGAAATCCGACGCGAACTTCACCGGTTTGCCGAGAAGCAACTCAAAGACATGAAGTTTGGTCTTGTCAGCCCGACAAGCGGAGAACTTGGCGTGTGTCAAGCGATGGTGTCTACAAGTAAGTTACAATTGATGCGCTGTTCGCGTTGGCTCTACTAATCAAGTCCAGTGTACCACCACACTCTACTTTTGACGTTCAGGCCGTTCTTGATTTTGCGAGCGAAGCTCAAGCAAGAAAAATCCTCTTCCGATCCTACCTCCGCTGAAACCCTGCATGCGCCTCCGCCTTGGCTTGATAATGCTTGCGAGTACTGCCTAGAGGCAGCTAGAAATTCGATCGGCTTTCTCACAAGCTCATGCGCAACCAACACGCTCTGCCATGTAAGCATTACTGCGTACATCCTCCTATCCATTCTAACCGATACTAGGATATCAAATACCACGGCTTCTTTATCGAGGGAGCGTGCTACGCCTTGGCATTTGACATGCTGCAAGAGAAAAAGACGGCTCACCGCAACCTCCCCTGGATCCACTCCGGCTTGAGATGCCTCCGGTCCATGATTACCAAAGCAGGGGCCAACGCGGGTCAACTACCGACGACAATCGCCTCGATCGAGCAAATGGTTCGCTCGGCCGGCTTTGAGCTCAAGGACCAAGTGGACCCGGATATGCGGCAATCTCAGTCCCAGCAGACCCTTCACTCGACCCTGCCAGGCTCCCCGGCCATGCCTCCAGCTAGCGTCGCCGGGGAGGAGCCGGCTTTCACGTTTCCCTCGATGCCGTTTGGCTTTGACGTCACCGGCCAGGTGAATGGGACTTCTCCCATGGGTGTAGGATCGGATGAACAGGCTGACTTTACGGCGGCGGATGTCGGTTGGGACATTGACTTTGGCACTATGAATATGGAGGCATTCTTATCCCTTGACCCGACTGAGGCCTTCAACTTTGCTCTCTAATTCCACAAGCGGATCAAAATGGGTCCCCTTATCTGGGTTATCTCTGAGGTTTTCTCGGAGTAAGGACGCGTCCGGATCTGAAATCCGAATCTTCAAGGGGCGATTCATTTCAATGATTTGTCAGATGGTGACAACGCCTTACAAAGGCTGCATCCTGTCATTTTATCTCCGGGAGGCCCATTCCTTTACTGGCCGGCTTTGGAGACTGGATGGGTCTTTGTTGACTCTAAACGACGGAGGTGGCGGAATTACGGATGTCCGGATATACGCGTGTAAGACACTTTTTTGGGTAATCGCGGCGCTTCACTATCATATATACCAAGACCTGTACAGAATAGAATATTGATTTCAAGGCTTCGAATAAGCTCAAGAGCGGCTCTGGATCTGACCAAGCTGACTCCTCTGTTGACGCAATTGACTCGACGCGTAAAGATGGCCGACACACCCAACGACAACGGCACCCTTGCCGAGACACCGAACGAATCGTTTGTTCGCGACAGGGATGCTCATTTTGGGTCATCGAGTGATACTGACGTCGAGGTTGAGAACGTTGATGAGGAGAGGGGCAAGGATCATATCCAGAAGCGCCTGACCTTGACCTTCCAGGATGTTACTGTTCGGGTTACGGCACCTGATGAGGCATTGGGTGAGACTCTTTGGTCGAGAGTTGATCCTCGTCAGTTGGCAGGTTTGTTTAAGGGGAATAATCGGCCAATGAGGGTAGGTAGCTTCAGTGTCATGGCTGATGCGCATCGTTGCTAACATGGTATGCAGACTATCTTGAACGAGGTTTCTGGCCAAGTCAACCCAGGAGAAATGGTATGCATTTTGTTTTTTCTACTAATGACACTTCTGACCTGTGAACTCTAGCTGCTGGTTCTTGGCCGACCTGGCTCGGGTTGTACATCCCTCCTCCGCGTGCTCTCCAACCACCGAGAAGCCTTCCAAGAGGTCACCGGCCACACAAAATACGGAAACATGAATCACAACCAAGCGAAAAAGTACCGACAACAAATCGTCTTCAACACCGAAGGTACAGAAACTTTATTCACCGCGAAAGATCATAGCTAACTTGGCCTCTAGATGATATCCACTTCCCGACTCTCACCGTCAACCAGACCATGAAGTTTGCTCTTCGAAACAAGGTTCCCCGTGAAAGACCAGAACATGTGGAGAAGAAGCATCACTTTGTTCAAGATATGCGCAACCATATTCTTGACTCTCTAGGTATCGGCCACACGCAAAAGACTTTGGTCGGCAACGAATTCATCCGTGGTGTTTCTGGTGGAGAGAGGAAGAGAGTCTCTCTGGCCGAAGTCATGGCCAGCCAGGTTTGTCCTTAAGTCTATCAATAAGATCGAGTACTGATAATCTACATAGAGCCCCCTGCAGTTCTGGGATCAACCAACCCGAGGTCTCGACTCCAAGACAGCCCTCGAATTCGTCGAGACACTCCGCCGAGACGCCGACCGAAACGGCAAATCCGTAGTCCTGACAACCTACCAAGCTGGCAACGGCATCTTTGACGCCTTTGACAAAGTCCTCGTCCTCGCCGAAGGCCGCGTAATCTACTACGGTCTCCGCGCAGCCGCCAAGTCCTACTTTGAAGAAATGGGCTTCGTCTGCCCCCGCGGCGCCAACATCGCCGACTTTCTCACATCTGTCACCGTAATGACGGAGCGAGAGATTGCACCCGGCTTTGAAAGTCGTGTTCCTACCACGGCTGAGGAGTTTGAGGCTGCGTATAAGAGGAGCGAGGTTTGTCAGCTTATGGCGAGGTTGGTGCAGAGCCCGGAGAATATGGATGATCAGGTTGAGGATTTGAAGATGGCTGTTGAGAGGGAGAAGAGGCAGAGGAGTTGGAGGATTGGTAAGAGGGGTGTTTACACTGCTGGTCTGAGAGAGCAGGTTATCAACTGCACTCAACGGTACGTCAACTACCCCTGACTACACATTGATGTTAACTAATCTTCAAAGGCAATGGCAAATCATGATGGGAGACCGTCTTTCTCTCTCCATCAAAGTCATCTCCGCCATCATCCAAGCCCTCGTCTGCGGCAGTCTCTTCTACGACCTCCCCCTAACCAGCGAATCAATCTTTCTCCGGCCCGGCGTCCTCTTCTTCCCCGTTCTGTACTTCCTCCTGGAATCTATGTCCGAAACGACAGCCTCCTTCATGGGACGACCCATCCTCATGCGCCACAAGCGGTTCGGCTTCTACAGACCCACGGCTTTCTGCATCGCCAACGCCATCACGGATATTCCCATCGTTATGCTGCAGGTTACGTGCTTCTCGCTGATTCTGTATTTCATGAGTGCACTGCAGCTTGATGCGGGAAAGTTTTTCACATTCTGGATCGTGGTTAATGCCGAGACGCTTTGCTTTATTCAGCTGTTCCGGGCTGTGGGAGCCATGTTTAACCACTTTGGCCTGGCTAGTTACATCTCTGGATTGTTGTCGACAATCTTCTTTGTCTATGGAGGTTTGTACAGAGCTTTACCAAGAGTTTGGGCAGATACTGACGTCAAACAGGTTATCTGATTCCTTTCAGCAAGATGCATCCTTGGTTCCGCTGGATCTTTTACCTCAACCCAGGTGCCTACGCATTCGAATCCCTCATGACGAATGAGTTTCAAGGTCTCAGCCTTGACTGTGTCGCTCCTCAGTACATCCCCTTCGGTCCAGGCTACGACAACCAGAGCCAAGAATATCGAGGCTGCACTGTTCTCGGCAGCGATGAATCCGGCATGATCGACGGTGTCACCTACGTTCAACAACAATACGACTATGCCGTCGGCCACAAGTGGCGTGGCTTCGGCATCATCATCGGCTTCTGGTTCTTCCTCATCGGTCTCACGGCACTCGGCTTCGAGCTTCGAAACAGCCACGGAGGGTCTTCTGCTCTGCTCTACAAGAGAGGTTCGCGAACCAAGAAGATCTCTGATCCTGAGAAGGAAGCCGGCCGCAACACAGAATCTCTTCAGTTGTCGACTCAAGCTACACGACAGTCGACTTTCTCGTGGCACAACCTGGACTACTTTGTGCAGTACCAAGGTGCGCAGAAGCAGCTTTTGAACCAGGTTTTTGGATACGTGCAGCCTGGAAATCTTGTTGCTTTGATGGGTTGCTCAGGTGCTGGAAAGACGACGTAAGTATGCAGTATGAATGCTCCATCTTTTAGCTAACCAGACTGCAGGCTTCTCGATGTTCTCGCTCAGCGCAAGGATGCTGGTGAGATTCGTGGCTCTATTCTCATCGACGGAAAGCCTCAGGGAATTTCTTTCCAGAGAATGACGGGATATTGCGAGCAGATGGATGTCCACGAGGCTACTGCCACGGTCAAGGAGGCTCTTGTTTTCTCGGCTGTTCTGCGTCAACCCAGAGAAATTCCCTACAAGGAGAAGATTGCCTACGTTGACCACATCATTGAGCTTCTGGAGCTTGAAGATATCTGTGATGCTCTTATTGGAAGTAAGTGTCCCTACCCAACCATTTTACTGGAAGCCAGTACTAACTGCAATCAGCTCCTGGTGCTGGCCTCAGCATCGAACAGCGCAAGCGTGTTACTCTTGGTGTCGAACTGGTTGCGAAGCCGACTCTGCTCTTCCTCGATGAGCCTACCTCAGGTCTGGATGGCCAGTCTGCTTACAACATTGTTCGTTTCATGCGACGTCTCGTCGATGGTGGCCAGGCTGTCCTGTGCACCATCCACCAGCCTTCTGCCGTTCTCTTTGATGCTTTTGACTCACTGTTGCTTCTGGCCAAGGGTGGAAGGATGGCCTACTTTGGCGAGAGTAAGTCTGGTCCTACAAATGCACCTACACATGCTAACAACATCCAGCCGGCCAATACTCCAAGACTCTTCTCGACTACTTTGACAGAAACGGTGCCCCCTGCCCTGAAGGAGCGAACCCAGCCGAGCACATCGTCGAAGTAATCCAAGGCAACAGCGAAGTTGATGTCGACTGGGTTGACGTTTGGAACCAATCTCCCGAGCGTATGAGAGCCCTTGAGAAGCTCGAAAAGTTGAACCAGGAAGCTATTGCAAACACCCAGGGCCAGGAAGAGGATACGGCCAGCTTTGCCACGTCCAAGTGGTTCCAGTGGAAGACGGTTCTTCACCGACAGATGATTCAGCTCTGGCGATCTCCTGTATGTCTCTGGTGTATCTATCCTTGACCTTTACTGACTATGTGCAGGACTACGTGTGGAACAAGATCAACCTTCACATCTTTGCAGCCCTCTTTAGCGGCTTCACATTCTGGATGATCGGCGATGGAACATTTGATCTGCAGCTCCGACTTTTTGCCATCTTCAACTTTATCTTTGTTGCTCCTGGATGTATCAACCAGATGCAGCCGTATTTCTTGCACAACAGAGACTTGTTTGAGACGCGAGAGAAGAAGGTAAGTCATTTAACCACTTGCATTTTATCCTTTCTAACGTGAGATAGTCCAAAACCTACCACTGGGTCGCCTTCATCGGTTCTCAGACCGTTGCCGAGATTCCTTACCTGATCATCTGTGCCACTGTATACTTTGCTTGTTGGTACTTTACAGCCGGTTTCCCAGTCGAGGCCAGAATCTCAGGTCACGTCTATCTCCAGATGATCTGTATGTTGCCCTCTTCCTTGCACGGAGTGTCACTAACCAGTCCAGTCTACGAATTCCTGTATACCTCCGTTGGACAGGCTATCGCAGCATACGCACCAAACGAGTACTTTGCCGCAATCATGAACCCCGTCCTCATCGGTGCAGGCATGGTATCCTTCTGTGGTGTGGTCGTCCCCTATGACGCGATGCAGCCATTCTGGAAGTACTGGCTCTACTACCTCGACCCCTTCCACTACCTCTTTGGCGGTCTCATGGGTCCCATCATCTGGGACGTCAAGGTCGATTGCCGCCCTGAAGAGTTTACCAGCTTCAACGTGCCAGACGGTCAGACCTGCGGTGAATACATTGCCGACTTTTTGAGCGTCAATGCTGGGTATGTGGCTAGTCCCAACGCCACTGGGAGCTGTGACTACTGCCCTTACTCTACGGGTGCGGAGTATGCAAAGACTTTCAACCTTCGTGAGGAGTATTATGGCTGGCGAGACGTAAGTTGACTTGTTCTTGAATAAAAAACCGTGTGACTAACTGATTGATAGACTGGAATCACGGCTCTGTTCTGTATTTCTTCTTATGCTCTCGTCTTTTTGATGATGAAGCTGCGAAGCAAGAAGACCAAGAGTGCGCGATCTGACTAAGGGGTGGTCACACCTGCTTTTTGATTGTCGGAAAAAGTGTCAGTGGCGTGTGCAGGGGCTCAGTTTCAACAAAATGAGCAGACCTATGAGAGAGGTGGTAATAAGTCAAGGGTAGATTGTGATGGCGGTTTAAACAGCAGAACTAGACAGGGCTAAAATGGGAAACGGTTATCATTAGATTCATAGACACTTTTGGATAGAAAGGGATGCAATAAGGGTGGGATAAAGATTAGTTTGGGCGCGTTGAGATATCACTCGGGGAATCAGGGGCTTTACTTTTCACAAACCAGAATTTTAACAGCAGCCAAGAAGGCAGTTTTCAGCACAATATTGGCGTCATTCCTAAGAAGATCTGATTTAAATCAAAGAATCATTTGAACATTTTGTATCTCCTGGTCGTTTATCTACATAGTTCCATCTATTCTCAAATCCTCCGCCAACGCCATGCGATGTCCTGCACTCGCTCATATCCCACCAATTCCCAATGTAGCCGTTTCGTGTATCATGGCCGTCATTCAATCATTAAATCTTCAATTTCGCCACCTCCAAGCTCAACAAGTAGTGCTCCTCCATGCACCACGCCAGCTTCTCCGCTCTAGCCAACCACTTGGGCGTTGTCTGACCGCAATACTCCCACAGCGCCGCCTCAAGATTGTCCTTCTCTGGTCCAGGGTCCATGATGCCCCAGACGTCGATTATTGTCTCGGGCATGGTGGCCGAGGCAATCGGTTTGAACTCGACAGATAGTTTCGCCATCACTATTATGTCGTTGGAAAAGTCCGTCATGTGCGGGAGGAGTTTTCCGCCGCGGTCGTCAACTCTGCGGGCCGCCTTGTTGAGCAGGGCACATACGACGGTCATCATGCTATGCTGAACGAGAACTCTGGAGAGGGTCTTTCGCGCTTCGAAGGGGGCGTTTGGGACCTCTCTTGCGGCGCGTGCTGTGGCTAGTGCCTTGCGGAGGGTTGGTAGAAGGGCATAGTACATATCGTAAGCTTCAGATATCTGTTTGTGGTACATTATAGGGTTGCTGAGCCACCTAGGCATCCGGCCCATGGAGTAAATACCAGGGGATCGATCGAGGTCTTGATCAGTGGCGCCTTCTGGGATCGGGGTGATATATGGGGCAAGGTTTTCGAGAAATAGGGGGTCAAGCGTCATTTCATGGTTTGCCATGGCCTCCCACATCTAGAAATTGTTAGTGGTGATCCGTACTCATAGGACCAGGCACTTACGATTCCAAAGTAAAAGCACAGCAGCATATCCTTGTCAAAATCCTTTATCCAACCCTTCTTCATGGCGTCATCGAGGAGGTACGCTATCACTTGGAGATGCGGCACACTTGGAAGGTCGATTTCGTGGAGTAAATACTGTCATATCTCAGCTTATCCGGGCCAGAAGCATACCTGCTGATTCAACGTACCTGAGACACGGTAATGACGTAGATTGCCAATACCGTGTTGGGTGTATGGGCTTCTGCGGGATTCTGCAAGGCCGCGCGTATATCCTGCATTGCTATCCCCTGATGCCTAAGAGCCAGAGTCAAGTCTCCTTGACCCCGCCTAGAGCAATACAGTTTGGTCAGGGCAGCAACCGAGGTCCTCAAAGCCGGGCTTGAATCCAATCGCTGTGGGAGGGTTTTGAAGAAAATCCCTAGTAGATTAAGGTCGTATGAGATTGTCGGACTCTCGAGGACCGAGACGAAGCCTGTAGCCACCCTCATCGACTCGCTCGGGGGGTTCTGGACAATGGCGAGTCCGCTCCTCATCTGTTCGCACTTTTCACGATTGTTTCGAGGAACCAGTGCGTTGGGAGTGCGTTCAAACTTTTCAGGGATGAATTTGAAGCGGTTCACTACAGCACCGCCGCAGCGGAGGCCGAGACGCTCACATCTTCCACAGACGGGTTCAACTTGGTCACACTTTGAGTTGTCAGGGGAAGTCGGAGATTACGTGGAGTATTCTTGGCATACCTTCTTCTTGGACTGGCGACACTGGTCACATCGCTTCACATGAGCAACACCGGGCATGGTCAAGTGAAAAGAAAAGCCGTTGAAGAAAGGCGTTATCAAACTGTCGTTGAAATTGTCAGACTGTCCGTGCCCTCCTGGCGAAGCTGACGGGAGGATAGTGTTATTTAAAGTTCTCGGTCGGGATTATCGGTCTCTTTGCTTGCGGGGGTTTTGTTTGACTGGGGATACAGCCCTGCAGGGCGCAGTTGCGCAGTCACCACAGGTACCCAGGCCTATCTGCGCCACAGCAGGGCTACGGATTTCGTCAGTCCAGGTTCCTGAGGATGTAATTGGTTCTCTTGGAAATAAGGATCATTAGTCCCCGCTGTGGCTGGTTGTGTTGCATCCAAGCCTTGGTGTGGCCCCTCGATCTGGGAAAAAACACCGCTAATCTTTCGGACTCGTCCGTGATGATTAATGTCTGCAGCGACGTCATTATTAATCCCAACACGTTGTGAAATGTACGGTATTGTAATCACAAGTGTTACACTGAGCTTAAGGGTCGTCATTATCAGGAAAATTGAATGAAACTATGATAGAGATTAACGTTGCTGTCATGGCTTCTACCGATGTGGATCCGAAAAGAGGAAACTAGCGGGATACAACGCGATGATCGGCTACGTACGTACTCGATGTTGATTGGCCATCATTCCCCGAAGGTATATTTAGGCATCGTCCCCTTGCGCATTCTCCCTCCCTCATCTTGACAAACCATCGACAAATGCTGACATTGACAGTTTTTGCTTCTTAATGTCGTTTCCTCCCTCCATCTTCAGGGTATACCAGCCTTTGCCAGCTCCCTCGAGAAGGGCTGACAAATCCATCGTCGAAGATCCGCCGTCCTACTACGCGTCGAAACGATGTCGACTGTGCCAGTTCTCCCTCAGAGATGGTGAATTTGTCGCTACCCGTACTGTATATACGTCGCCAAAAGCTTGATACAAGTCTCATCTCTGCATAGAAATTGGAACAGATCGGTTCTCGCCTGCGTTTGGCTTTCGCGTGAACGATGCGTTCCACTCCAGGCGTCACCGGATCGACGGAACCGGCAGCAACGTTGTGCGGCTTTTCCATTCTTCCTGTATCAAGTTCAAGCGTTTTGTCATTACCTATGACTTACTCGCCGTTACAGAGCACAGTATCGGGCTCTCTGAGCTCGAGGAGCGCCAGCGTCTCAAGCGCATCCAACACTTGTTGGCTCCAAAGATATCCAATCTTCTGTCAGCAAAAGTCCCTTTCGAGGTGACGACAATGATTGCCAGCTATCTTGTACGCGAAAGCGCTATAATTACGGTCAAGAACCAGTCAGTCTTCAGTCAAGCATGCGACATCACAGTCAAACTCTCCGAGGATGTATACGCAAGCTCCAGTGTGATAGACGGCGTTCGATACATCAAGAGTTTGCACAACATCGACACAGTTCAAGGTGAGGGATATCGCCTTATTCTAAACGCCAACGATAAGGGACCTGTCTATAAAATCAGGATTTGCGAGGACCACCTGGGTATTAGATTTGTCCAGTTCCTCCCTCCAACTCCTGGGTCAAAGAAATTCCCAGAAATGACAGGATGGTGGAGGGATATCTCACCCTCTAGATTCAAATTCTCTGCGATACGAGTCGAGTCAGATGTAAGCATGCCACTTTTACAAGATTCAAAGCTGATATTGCCTCAAGGGTATCAAGCTCAGAAGGATCACCGACGCCTCTGATGAGGAGGCAAAATTCAAATTCCCTCACGTAGGATGGCCAACTCCCGACTACCCCTCAAACAAGATTGATCTTCTCCTCTATGACTACCCTGTGCGGCAGTTTGCTGTGAGTAGGAATGTTCGCATGACATACTTTGACTGCAACGCCCCAGATGTCACGGGCTACACCATGGTTTGCCAGAGTCACTGGGTATCTACCATCCACGCGCACGGGGAAGAAAACGACACGGAATTCTATAAAGAGGTCGATGCATGCTTTGGAGATCAGGTACACGTCTTGATCTACATGCCCGTAGATCAAGGGGAATACATCACCGAAATCCAGCGACGCTGGAGGGGGAGAATTGGCGGGGACTTTTTCGATCTTGTGGTAAGAGCCCAATCACGCGCATGCTATTGAATCTTCAGTAACTTTCGCCTCCCAGTTCAAAACGAATCGAGCAAGACAAACCATCTTTGGATCAGACAAGGAGGGCCTTCACAATTTGATCTTGAATCCAATCATGAAACCTTCCCAACAGGGCTCACGCATCTACTTCAACAAGGTCGGCCCTGAAAACGAGCCGGCTGTCAGGTTCATTGCGTCCGATGAAGCAATCGAGGAGCCTATCCGAAACCGACAGCCCCGGCCAGGCCCACGCACACTCGACCCTCCTCATATCGTCCGCAAGAATCCCTGGTTCACATCTCGATGCACTCTGGAGAGAGTCAAGGATGTTACCCTATGCAGAGACGTTTCTCTATCCCACAGACCTGTCATTGGAATGCTCGTGCAATATACGGATGGTCATCAGGAGTGCTTGGGAGAGTTCCGCTTCGACAGGGCTCTCAAGACGATCCAGGCTGACCAGAGCGGAGGGCTGCACATTGATCTGCAGAAGATGGAGGATGAGGAGTCTACGTACGTGGAGGATGTGCGTGGCTTTCCCCTGGGGGATCCATCCCTTTGCCCGGAAGACGAGTCCTGGATCGAGGTATCGTGGAGCGGCACGTTGGAGTGGAGGTTTAGGTGGGTAGACTGTACCGTGACGCACATCCCAGCTGTGCAATGACCGAATAATATCCCAAGTCATGACAGGTTGGGCAATGTTTTGGATTTTTCTTAAGGAATGATTTCATTGTTCTTTCACAGACCAGACAAGTGTCAAGCAAATGAGCAATATGCTAGCTCTTTTGCTATGTATTAGTGGTAGAGGGATTAGGGGTCTCAACCAATGAGGGTGCAAAAATCAGTCATGAGAGGGAAGATGTGGTGCTTTTACAATTTTGGCCGGGCTCGCAGACTGAGCCCGAGGGACCCGCACACGACCATGAGGGTCACGCTGCACCCCAAGGCGTGTTCTCGCATATCAATCAGTGTGTTATTTGCTATTTTGCTTGACCAAGATGTAATTGAAAAAGAAGAATACTAGCTCTTTAATATAAGAATGGCATTTAAACACTGATATGCTATGTCCTAAATTCGTATGATTGAGAATATTGAGACCTTCACTAGCCGGATTGATTATCTTGATATGACCTGGAGTTTGCGCAATCTGAGTCTCTCACCAATTTGGGTGCATACACTCCTCTACCTATCCATGATTGGTTTTGATTTTACCTCGCTATATTGTTTGGTCGTGTTTGATCAGATTTCTCTTGACTAGTGACAGTAATCTAGGCACACAACCAATCACCCTTCCTACGCCATGAACCGGCACTCACTTTCCAAATACCTAAAAATGACTACAAAGAAGTTCTCCTTTCTAGTATAAGAAGAACAGATGACAATCCTTATATCGATTACCAGGTGAATAGAGTTTATATGTTAGAGAAGCGCAGCCCACTCAGTAGCAAAACCGAAGAGCGGAGATTAAAAGGAGTTGCTTTTAAATATATCACAAATGATGACTCAATTTCACTTCATACCTATCTATTGCAGGTGACCAGATACTCTCATTTATTCCTCGCCATGTTGTCGCTTGGGCTTGCCAGCCAGCCTTGTTGCCAACTCAACATTGCATCCAGCCAATAGGCATCCAACATGAGTTTGCGAAACCTGAGACACACAGATAACAAGGCGCAAACCATTGGACCCCGCGGCCTAACAAGGGATCCTGGTACGCATTATCAAAGGCCATCCAAAGTTGCATCATCGCCAGATATTTGGCCTTGTTGGTTGATGAACGCTCAGCCACGAATCTGCGACCCGTTGGTAGACCCCCCTGCGGGAGGCCGACCAACACCGGTCGCCACCTGGTGATGGGCCCCGACCATAAATCCAGTTTCAAATCGTCTCGGTTACCGCTGAGAATCTGCCTTGCACTGATGGGCAGTGCCGAGGGCGGCTATATATTTCTGTCGCGGCGCTAAATCTCAACTCTGCTTTCTCAAGCGCGTCTTGACTCTCCACGACAGTACGCCCTTCTCTCTCAGCTTTGTTTTTACTTGCACGACCCTCATGGCATCTCCTCACGATCCTATTTTCGAGGAAAAAGTCTACCTCGCTTTCAAAGACATCTTCTCAGGCCGCAGCGCCAAGCTCCGCGGGTTGAAGGCCGTTCAGCCCATTGTTAGCCAGAACAAGAAGCGCAGCGGCGTCAGCTCCCTTCTCAAGAGCAGCAATCACGAGTTTGTGTGCCAGTCACTCTGTCGCTTGCTCAACGAGCAAATTTTTGAGTCCGAAGCAAGAGCGCGTCTTCGGTTTGCCAAGAACCCACGTACTGCCGTACCACCTGCGCCAATGGTTTCAAAGCCGGTAGTTCCAGGGCCAGTGGTTCCCAAGTCGCCTGCTTCAGAGCTTGCTTTCCTTCAAGCCCCAAATTCTGAGCCGGGGACTTGTTCTAAAATGATCAATGGTGTGGTTCCGGAATCGGAGCCTGATTCTATGGGGGAGTACGGAGGCAAGTAGCGACTCCCAGTAAACCATGAAACAAGACTACTAACGCATCGCTCACAGCTTTATCAGAGTCCAGCGGCGACACATTGGAGGAACTTGAGCCAGAACTAGACACACCTGCGAATTATGAGAGCAGATACCCCGCCGAGACATCACAGCTTCAAGTCTCCCTCCCCCTGCGCATTCAAAATCTCATCCTATCTCATATGCAGGCTATTCTGGAGCTTGCATGCTTCGATTTCGCCACGGAAAAGATGCCCGAGATCCTCGAGAGCCGCAAGTGGCGTTGCCCCAAGGCTGGTGAACTGAATCTATGGGTGGGGGAATTTAACAAGAGGATCGCCTCGTTCAAGAGCAACGTCAACAATCCTGAAGGTTACGAAATTTCTAAATGCTTCCAGATAGCCACACACATCCGCCACTACGCAGTCCATCGCAGACACCTCTCCACGACCCATCTCCAGTCCCTGGTCAATAACGCCGAGGGCCTCTGCAAGATTCTCGGAAACGGCCAAGCTTTGGCGCAGATAGAGTCTATTTGGGGATATGCACAAGCCCAGATCTCTGAGTTGGAATCTCTCAAGGGAGAGATCGTTCTGGAGCTTGAGAGCAGCCTTGACGATATAGCTGCTCGGCGGGCAGAGCTTAATCTTTTGGAGGCAGCGAGTATCGCCAAGGCCCATGACAAGCTCAACGGCCACCATGATGTTGCAAGTGATGAGTTGGAGAAGATTCTCCTGGACAGACAGATGGTTTTGATGGCGGCTGGCAAAGTGGAGAATGAGAAGGAGGGAGACGAAGCAGACGAGCTGGATGACCACCTGTCGGAAGAACTGCAACCACCGGAGGCCAAAGTCGAACAGTACCAGCCCCCGGCGAGAGGGCTTCTCGTCTTGGAACAGCGCATCAATCAGAGCATGTCATTGGCTCAGAAGATCTACAACACACTGAACTCTCTCCCGACTTTTCTTCACGCCTTCCAAAACTCACTTCTATTGCTGCCGTATATCCTCTTCGGCATAGCTGCCGCATATATCCTTGCAGCTGGTGGGATGGAGCACATGTGGGGTGTGCTCTGGTGGGGTGAGTGGTGATTTGAAGCAAGGTCGTTTATACCAATTGGGCTCATTGAAAGGAAGGATACTTGTACAAGATTATGTATGGAAAGTAAACTGGCGCTGTAGCTGTCCGAGGCTCAGGTGGTCCACTGAGGAGGAGCCTGACCACCAAATACAATGAACAAGTTTAGTCCGCAAGAGTGTGCATCCCAAGGGCCAAACCACAATGGCCTCAACAAGATTTGTGACAACAGAAACAAGATCAAGTCGGCAAGCTAATCAAGAAACCTACATCATTATCACGACCTCATCCAATCTCCTAGCAACTCATAGAATCCTTCGCTTGATGACGACGCGGATATCCTTGGCCGGCCTCTTGGCACTCGACCCCGGAATCATATCAGGAACTTCCCAAGCCCCGCTCACGGGTTCAATATCCCAGAGACTGATGATGGCAGCCCCTACCACCGTCAGGTGTTTGTGAGCAAAAGTCCTCCCTTTGCACATTGACGACCCCATACCCCATGGCTTCAGCCTTCCGTATCGAGCAGTCATGTTCCCGATGGTTGGGTTCCTCTCCAGGAATCGCTCTGGAATGAACTTGTCTGGTTCTGCGAATATGGCTGGATCGTTGTTGGTGAGCGAGGTGGGCATCGAGACGAAGGAGCCTGCCTGGAGCTGATGCTCGAGTTCACCATCTTGAATGGCGATTGGACGCTCGACGCGTCTGATGACGGCTGGGTCATTTGCTATGCGGTAGGTTTCAAAGATGCAGGCCTTGAGGAGTTGACAATCGCGACACAAGCCAGGAATGTCCATAGAGATGATCTCGAGAGGGGCTATAGTGGAGAGGTTGATGTAGGCGGCTGTCTCCTCCCGGATTCCTTCAACCAGGCCTGGAGTAGCGTACACAAAAGTTGTGAGCCAGGCCAGCATAGGCTGCAGGTTGGCGTTCTGGCCCCAAAGGATGGAAAAGTCCCCGGCCGCACGTTCTTGAAGGGACCAGCCCTCTCGCTCATAGATCTTGTTCCTCTCAAACGGAATGCTGCTGACGTCTGATAGGTCAAACTCAGAGTTGAAGACTTCTCCTCGCTGATGCTGGTCGATGCAGCGATAGAGGGATTCCATGGCTGATAGAAGCCGCGATCGTGCTCTCAGCCCTTCTTGTATCATTTTAAAAGGGACCCACGTGGGAACTCCAAGTAGCAGCGGTATAAAGAGATCATTGTCAAACTTCCACAAGTCTTCCAGGAGACGTGGGTGTTGACGCAAGAGGTCGTTTCCGTAGAGGAGTGGGATGGCAATGCAGGCGCCAAAGTCCCTGACCAGGTTGTAAAGGTTGGCTTCTACCACTGCAAGAGAACTCTGTGAATCTGTTGCGATGGCTCGAACATCTGCACAGAGCTCCCAGCGTTTCAAATTCTGAACATCAGAAGAGAAGGTCACCAGTGAGGCTGCCCGCTCAGCAACCCGAGCTCTCTCAATAGTCGCCGTAGCGCCGCTCTCTCTGAGAAACAGCCTCTCCATCGAAGGCAGAAAGTCTCTCCACGAGTTCTCAAGCTTCTTTTTAAGAGCTGGCGAGTCGACTCCGCCGTAGACGCGAGTGAGGAGGGCGTATTGAACAGGCTCGGCGCTTAGGGCGTGGAGTGACTGCTCCATGAGACGATCCACGTCTGGAAGATGGACAAGAACCTGGTGCTTTGATGTGAGACCAAACAGTGACCCACCGAATTTTCGCGCTGCCAAGCTAGATTCGTCTCGTTAAAAGTCGCCATACGTTGCATTGGCCTCACTGGCTACTCACAAGATCCGTTGGCCTATGCCATCCCCACGAAAGATATAGCTGACAAGCGCCAGTTCGATCATTGCCCAAACTGGAAAGATGCTGCCAGTTTTAGGTCTGAACATGAATTTGCGCAAAAGAAGTGCCAAGGCGAGAGCAGTAGCGATGGTGCAGGCTACATTGAAGCTGATGCATGCTGACAAGCTGTGACGAAGAGCCTGGGTTGGAGTCGAGTTGCTCATAGCGTACGAGTCTTTCAGTGGGTAGTCAGTCAATCGTGTGAACGATAATTATAAAGATTAACGAAAGTGGTTTTTAGCAAAGAATGTTTACTTGACTTGAGAGGAGGCATTCGAGGGGGCCACCTTTGTCAGGAGAACAAAGGATACAGTGGGAATAGCTCTCATGCCAGACAGTAGAGGTGGGGTTGTCTTGAACTCAAAAGCCTCTTTTATATACTGGAACCTAGCTGGGGAGGGGTTAAAGACTTGATTCCAGTGACTTTAATCCGTTGGAGGAAGAGTTTGGGGATAAGGTTCAAAGGAGATTGGATATCGCCATGCTGGCAGTGTGTGTCTGGGTTGCTATGGGATGATGCTACGAGAGGTTGGGTTTCAGAGGTTTTCAAAGCTGGAAGTTTTCAACTAGGGGTTTTCAGACGGTGATTCTAACTCGGAGCAAGAATTTAAGGAACATAGGAGTCGTCATATGAAAATTAACTGCAGGGGTTTAGCATGAACACGCTGACGACTCTTATACTTGTCTAGGATATTCTCAATAAGAATAGCTCTACCATATCTTATACTATGATGATAAGTTGATGACTTGACAGGGATAACATAGATTGTAATCTGTTGACACATGGCAGTTACCTTGAAATGGCATTGCGGATCCTTAGGGAACTTCAGCATCCTTGCGTCGTTCTCGTTTAAACGGCTACTATTGCCTGAACTCTGTGAAACCGCTTCCTATGTAGGATTGCCCCGCTTTTGCATGCCGATATCCGAGCACAGTAAGGCGGATAAGATCTGCCACCAATACGCGAGATTCTGATATGATGCTATGCCGTTCCTCCCGAGATGCTAGGTTTTATTCCTTCAAAATGTCTTAGCGCTGATGTAAGAGGCCCCAGTCAACCAGGGGACCTGACTTGAACGAGAACGACAACACCGCAACTCTCTATTCCGATTAAAGTAATTCTTTCGATCCGAGTTGAATAGATGACTTCAATAACCGAATGGCAGGCTCCAGTTTAGGACCTATGGAGCAACTCATTCGAAGGGGGAGAAATGGATCCAAGGTGATCAGCCCCAACACAAGCGAGTACTTAAACTAGTCATGAATCCGTCTTGGCAACAGACATCATCTTCACTCACATCGACACCCAACTGGCTCTTGCACCACAGGGCATCATGATATTCTCCAAGCAATTCTTGACGCTCAGCGTCGCGCTTGTTGCTGTATGTATCTCCTCTTCCCATGACCCATGGCCGTGAAAATAGTAGTGGCTGATTATACATAGGTTGCCGGCGCAAACAGCCAGCCATATCCACCCAACGTCACCCTCAGCAACTCAACCACCTCTATGTACCAGCTTAGCAGCGATGGCGAGTTTGCATTCATCCTCGAGGAATACCTTTCTCTCGCCAATGAGGAAGGTGCTGCTACAGGAGAAATCCTTCGAGCCGCCGCACTCATCGAACCTGGAAACATCGAGAGCTGGTACAAAGAGTTCAAGTTTCTTGGCGACAAGATTGGTGCTCAAGCCAAGGAGGCAGAGAGCAGCAAGGCGTGGGTATCCGCTCGCAAGGCTTATTTCCGATCGTCTTCCTACTACCGGGCTGCCGATTTCTTCTTGCACGGAAACCAGTCCGATTCTCGGATCTACACGCTCTGGGATAAGCAGAGCGAAGCCTTCAACAAGGCCGTCAACCTACTGCCCAAGCCTCCGACTTTTGTCCAACTAAAGGCCAAAAGTTTTACTGTGCCCGCATATTTCTATCCAGCAGCTCCAGAGCTCCCTCCTGGTAAGAAAGCTGCGCAAGGAAAACGAGTTCCTACTATAATCGTTGGCACGGGTTATGATGGTAATCAAGAATCGTTGTATCATGGCACTTGTCGCGAAGTCATCGCCCGTGGCTGGAACTGCATCACCTACGAGGGTCCAGGCCAGCCCACTGTGCGCCGACAACAGAATATCGGCTTCATTCCGGAATGGTGGGAGGCCGTTACTCCTGTTGTTGACTATGTCCGTCAGCGCAAGGATGTTGACCCCGATCGCGTCGCGCTGATCGGCCTGTCCTTTGGTGGACTTCTCGCGCCTCTGGCTGCTACACGCGAACACCGTCTCGCAGCTGTAGTCGCCATCGACGGATTACTCAACCTTCAACGCTCCATCCTCGAAAAGTTCCCAGCTCAGATGGTCGAGCTCTTTACCTCTGGAAACAAGACTGGCTTCAACGGATATGTTGAAAAACTCCTCGCTATTCCTGACATCACTCTTCAATTCAAGTGGGGAGTCGACCAAGGTACATGGGCTTGGAACACTACGGATCCCTACACTTGGCTCTCGGGTGTCGGCGAATTTGATCTCGACGAGAAGAAGCTTTCGCAGATCAAGTGTCCCGTCTTTGTTGCTTCGGGCCAGGATGACCATATTGCCCCGGGGCAGCCAGAGGAGATGGCGAGACTTTTGGGCGACAAGTCTCAGTATCTCTTGTTCGAGACTGAGCTAGGTGCTGGAGAGCATTGTGCTATTGGTGCCGAGCAGCAGCTGGGTTTCAAGACGCTGGGTTGGCTTGATGAGGTGTTTTCCAAGGTTTAGGCATCGTCCTAACTGCTCAATGTACTATAGGAAGGAAATCTTTTAGGTTTGCAAGTCAATTGCCACGGGGAGCACTCGTTATAACAATCCGTCACCGCTTGTCTTTGTAGTGCACCCTCCAGCCTCGTAGATTCCAAACAGCCAATTATGAGAATCTGAACAAAGACCCTCGAATAGGATACACGACTCAAACAACCTCCCTAAATTCCTAGTATAAATAGGGTCCGCACAGCAGCATCTCGGCATGAACTCGGGATCTATGCTTGGAATCGAAACTGAGGGTCCCGAGAGCTAGTAATACCCTCTGTAGAACCACTTGGCTTGCCGTAAAGCCTATCGCGGCGCCGGTTCTCCCACCTCATCCACAGAGTATAAGCAGTGGTCGCAAAGATAGAGATGGTACACATTCCAATGTTTGTCTTTAGTGCAGTGCTGTACCTCGGTGCCTCCCACTTCAGGTAGATGTTGCTTGACAGGAACCCACCACAGTTGCCAAAGGCTACAAACAGGCCGTTTGTTAGAGCTCGGGCGTTTAGGTTGGGGATGTTGGCTACCGTCCATGTAGCACTAATCGGGGTGCTAGGATATGCCTATTTCAGGTGTAAGCGGTTTGGTTTCTTGCAGTGTCAGAGCCTGGGATACTTACACCGATGGTGCATAGGAACATGGCAAAGTAGAGCACAGCCAAGTTGTCAGTGCTGACGGTGAAGAGTAAAATATATCCAACGAGACTGACGACGTCGGAGAAGGCGCTGTGAAGTCCTCTCTCAAGGAAGTGATCCGACAACCTGCACCAGAGAAAGAGTAAAACGGCTCCTGTCAAAGCTGGCGCAACTGTGTACTGCAACATTGGGTCAGCTTTTACTTCAGAGTCAGGGCCAAGAAATCACTCACAAGCTGCGTCTTCACCACGCCATGACCCAAACGCCTCACAACCATGGCCAGGAAGTTTGCGTTAGAGGTCAGAATAACTCCCATGACGAAAGATAGCACGATACGGATGTATCCATGCGGTGTGGTAAACTCGGACAGCGACTCTCTCCAACTGAACTCTGTCGAGAGACTCTGGACTGAGTCGTGCTCCAATCGCAGAACAGCAACTTCTTTTTCGGTCGGGTTGAGGAACCAAGCTGATTGTGTGTCGACAGGGAGCACGAAGAAGCATATGATAGACCAGAAGACCGTCATGCCACCCTCGAGGAAGAACAGGTAGGACCAGCGGAAGTAGCCACTGCTCGGTGTGACTTGGAACATACCGTAGGCGAGGAGACCACCAAAGGCTGAAGATGCAGTCAAGGCGGCGTAGAAGATGCCGATTCGGCTGGCCAGCTCCTTTCGAGTGTACCAAATGGAGAGGTAGTAAATGACCCTTGACGAAACAGTCTCAGTATAAGTTTGCTCTGTCAAACATGCGAGGTAGATGGGCTTACGATCCAAGAAACCCAGACTCAAAAGTGCCCACAAAGACGCGGCAAACAATCAGATGATGATAGTCTTTGACCCAGCCAGTAGCCAGGGACGCCACACCAAAGACAAACAACATTCCAGAGATGGTGTATTTGGCGCCAATGATGCGAGTCAACATGGCAATGACGGGCCCAAACACGACGAATGGTATCTGGTAGAAGGTGAGAACATCGTTGTACTGCCTTCCGACCATGTTCAAATCATCTTCAAGGTCGGCGGTATTGGCATTGACCAGATTACTGCGATCTAGCGAGCTATTCATTCTGGTCAGCCAACTGTTCCGTCACGAGGGATTGTTACTGGGAACTACTTCATCAGATATCCAATAGCCAAGACAGGAATGAGGCCTAAATCGGCCTTTCGTCCCAGAGACCGAACAACAGCTTCGTCGAGGTGGAGCTCGGCAACCCCGTTATCGACCTCAATGTCTAGGTCTTTGGAGGGGCTCTTTTGAATCTCAAGATCTTCCGATGGCTTAGGAGCCATCGTGGCAGGGTTGTTAATAGTCATGATGGTCAGAGAAGAAACTGTGAAGGCGGATTAACGAACCAGATCTGAATGACTAGATTAGAAGCTCAACTCATCCAAGCTTCTCATGCAGTCTTATACCCCATCACAACCATCATATCTAATATGAACCCATCTCCGTCTAGTTAAGCTTATCTCTCCGCAAGTTCCAAGCAGATCCCGTATCATCCCAAGATACCGATAAGCTCCATCATCGGATGAGCTGAAGAAGCCGATCACCCCCCGCACTTGTCTTAGCCATACTCCGATCGCTTCCGACGGAAAAGCCGGTATTTCTGAAGACCAGCATCCTCCTGTACCGACTGATATCACTCCATGTCACCGACTCGAGCATGAATACTGGCCAGCGACGAAGAGTCCCCCGGCGAACTCCACAAGCTTGTGGGACGTGGTATGCTCCCCAGCCTTGTCATGATGATCCCCCGCAAAATCTGACGCTGTAGTTACCATCCAGCCGGCGTCGAAAGACCAAGTGCGATTGAGTACGGCCTCGCTGCAGGTTCTGTGCATCGGCTGGAGTTTCGTGCCTATGGCCATCGTCACCACAACCTGAGTTGATGCCATCACCTCAGGAGGGCCAGGTTGATACCCCCGTGTCTTTACCGTCATCAGTAACCACCAGCTGTCTTGATGTGAGCGATACTGCTATCAGCCAAAAGTCTGTACGGCTTTGCTTTGAGCTCTTCTTTACCAGACATTTTGCATCCGACTTTTGCTCTTTTGATTATCGTCCTGATTTTGAAGCCAACTATCAAAGCAAGCCCTTCCTAGTGTACTCCATCATCTGCCTATGTGCACGGTACCTCACCCCAGAAGAAGCGGCCGAAGGATTCCAATTGTCCAGCGGGGAGGAAATCAGGAAGCGTTATTCACAGACGGCTCGGTCCAAGGCCAAGGCTGCATCGGATGAGCCGAGTGGTAGGGCACCATAATGCAATCTACGACTACCACTTCGGCCACTAATTTCTCACAGTCCCTCACATCCAAGGATATCTCGTCCTTGCTGTTGCCGAGCTTCTCGCCGGCTCTGGATCTCGGCACTAGATGTACGCTGGAACCGCCATTCGGATGGCCCAGATCATGCGCCTCAACAAGGATTACCATCAGAGGTACGGCCCAAGAGAGCAAGAGATCCGGTGTCGCGTGTATTGGGCATGCTTGCTCCTTGACAGAGCTCTAGCGTCTCTCTTGTGCAAGCCGCATTGCCTATCGGAAGTGAATATCGGAATAGCACTCCCGAGCACGGATACCTCACTGGCTTACCAGGAGGGGTCGAGAGGATTGACTCTTGAAGGGATCCAGTCCTTTACAGGATACCCTTCGGAGATCAGCCTAGCCCCTTATTTCATCCGCACCGTCTATCTCTGGAGCAAGCTGGCTGACTTTAACGTCTGTTGTCGGAGAAACCTTGACAAGCATCCTCCCACTGACCCGCAGAGTCTGTTCTTCCAACTAACCTCGACGCTCCAAGATTGGGTCTCGTCACTGAGACCCAGCTTGCAGTGGAGTATGCAGAACTACCACAATCATTGTGATCTTGGCCAGGGGCTAAGCTTTGTCTCGATGCATATGCTACTGCGAAGCTCGCTGTGCGTAGCTCATCAAGCATATCTACCGCAGCTGGACGGATTTACTGTTTTATGTGAGCTCATCGCGAAAACTGCCTGGTCGCGTGTGACTCGTCGGCAATGCCGATGGACGTCGGAACTGTGTGGTTGCAGCTGTCAACAGGTTGGCCCTGTGATCCCGGTGTTATTTTTGATCTATTTCCGGCTTAGGAGCGCTTTCGACTCTTGGTCCGACAGAACTTGACGCCGATCGGCTATGCCTGTAGCTACCGATCAACAGACACCCCTGAAGAAGCTGGCCGAAGATCCGAGATGACATGGATTAAAATGGTGGTCCTTAGCCTCGCATTTCTAGGATGATCAATTCATCAAGTCATCTCTCCTTCGACCAAGTCCACCAAGTTCTCAACATGGCACCCGCTCTCACCACCGAAACCCCAAGCAACTCGAGCTCTGCTCACGCCCTTCAGAATCCGATCAATCCCAGCTTTCTGAGTCGTCTAGACAAGGACTTTATAGAATACTACAACCTTAACCTCGCGAACAAGCCAGCGACTCACTCCGTCTCCATTGCTGACATCCGCGCCAACCCCAAGAAGTATGCCTCGCCTTGGTGCCGGGACTTCTCCAACGAGGACTTTGTCAAAGACATCAAGATCAAATCAGACGATGGGTATGAGATCACTGCGAGATGCTATCACCCCGACACTAGCAAGTCGCCATTTGGTCAGGGGCCGTACCCGGTGCACATCAACTTTCATGGTGCGCTGTATTCTCATATTGGCCATGTTTGGGACTGAAGGGCTAACGCACTATAGGCGGAGGATTCACCTTTGGCGATCTCACTGGCGATGCCGAACTCTGCATGGAGTGGCGGAACCGACTTGGAATTATGGTCATGGATGTCAATTATAGACACTGCCCTGGTTTGTTCCCTAGTATCTCATCTGCAGCAGCTACTGACTCTTCATGGCAGAGAACGCCTTTGGAAAAGGGCACGATGACGCCTGGGCGGCCATTCGCTGGGTTGGTTGAGAACTCCATTTCATTGCAGCGTTTGCATATCCGGCACTGACGTCTTAACTTGAAGGTGCATCACCACGGGAGTGGAATTAATGTTCGTCCTGACTCCATCTCGATCGGAGGCATCTCCGTCGGGGGAACACTAAGTGCCGTAGCCCAGCAACTGGCGCGTGACCACGGGCTTCCTTTAAAACTGGGTAAGAGATTAGGTTCACTCTTACATCTTAACTAACCAGTCTCTAGCTGTTCTGGCGGTTCCTTGCACAGTCATCCATGATGATCCCGCCACCCCAGAAGAAAGCCCCTTCGCATCCTTTGCCGAGAATGCCCTGGCGCCTTGCCTTAACTGGAAACGTATCGTCTACTTCCGGGACCATTGGGCTCCCAAGACCGAGGAGGAGAGAGTCGCCTTCT